AGATCTTTTTATATTACTCTTCCTAAGACAAACCAGTTTTTTTCAATGCTTTATGTATAGCATGAGGATGTCACACTTGGCTTTGCAAAACATGACTTCTATGCACTTCCTTCATATGCATTGACATTTCTGGGAGAGGTTTGCCTCAGAAAATCAGAGCAGAGGAATAGAAAACAGGCATTAAATTGCCAGTGAATTTAAGGCTTTGAGTCTTATCTAGGCAACATTCAAATTCTGTACATTGGTTGCTTCATATTGTCTTATTAGCAATCTCATTGATTCAAATTATAAGACTCGCAGAAGGGCAAAAAATGAGATTCCTTTACACGGGAAATAAACAAGCTGTATGCCAGTTCTCGTGGCATAGTCTATCCCTGAGATATCTGAGTTTTAAAATATTCACTAATACACGTACAACTTAGGTTCTTCCATGACCTTGAGAAATTATTAACCAGTATAATTGGTGATGATTTATAATTTTCTCAGAATTTGAGAGGGAGTTAAAACATGTATATAATGAAATATTGGGAACAAATATTTAGTGACAGTCTGTCCTGAATTTGATGCAATATATGATGATATTTCAATCGTTAAGTTTTGAATAGCAGCCATATGCACCTTTATGTGACTCTATAGGGGATTCCATGGCTTATGCTGTTTTCTAAGAGAAAACAGGCAGGGCGGTGAGATGTTTTCCTTTGATGGCCTCTGCTGAAAATTCCCAGTGACAGAGCACAGAATATCCAGCCCATGCCCTCAACAACAGCTGACCTGGTGGCGAGGTCTGTATGGAGCCCACAGACTGTATCTTGTCTCATCCTACTGGCTGAAGGACATGACTCTTTGCTCTATAATGGTACTGAGATGCCACTTTGTAAGCCATGACCCCCTCATTTTCATATGCACTCTGAATGGCTCACAGCCATTCCATGGCACCAGCCATCCATTGCTGTCAGCCTAGAAGTGCCTCCAAGTGGGAAACCCTCTCCCACAACAGTCACAGGGGTCACCATGTTGGTTTATGTGCCATGTTATGTCAGGTAGTCAACATTTCTGATGGGTTTTTCAGCCTGGCCTGTGGGCTGGCAGGACCAACCACCCCTTAGAGCTTCCCCAGAAGTTTGTGGGAACAGGAAGCCCTTGCCCACTGCATACATGGAGATTGCTGTTATTGTTGCCATACCTCCCCGTGTTTCGTGCTGTTTCCAACTGTGAAAGTTGTCATGCTTTGACACCATCACACCCAGACGATCTCAGAACACCCTCTGACTGGCTCCCTGCTTCCTTTATGCCAGGAAGTGTTCATGAAAAACGTACAGATTTATAGAGATGTTTCTGTACATGCATATGGACATGTTTCCCCCAAAAGACCAGGAACCAGCCAATGCGTTCATGAATCAAAAAACTGAACTTGGAGAGAAGTTTCACACAGAGAGGGTGGTTGGTGCACAGCTTCCCCATCCATGGCTGTGGGAAGCTTCCAGCTGGTTGTGAGACTGTGCTGCAGTACAGTCTGTGGCTGTAGAAGACAGGGTAGTATCAAAGCTGGAGCAGCAACCCTCCATCGCCATGGGCAGCCCCTGCCTCCCAGCTTGGTGTTCTGCCAGCCTCATGCCAAGGCTGCCAGTCCCAAATCTCACATGCAGACAGGAGACATCCATTGGCAGGCCAGTGGTGTCACCAGCCCCACAGTGACATGGGCCATTGCCAGCCTGCTGCCCACCATGATGTGACCACTATGTTATTGGAGTCAGTGCCAGGAGTTGGTGTCATTTTTGGGTCCTTATCATTATGTCAATGTCCTTGTAGAAAGTAGCAAACCTCTCTGGCTGAGTGGCTGAGGACAGGAGTGGACTATGGTCTGGTCATGTTCTTGGATGAGCCTCCAGTTCTAAAAGACAAAGGAGGAACAGCCACTATCTGTCACACCACGGCCAACTCCTGCCTGGGCCCAGCTCTTGGCAGTGCAACATCCCTTCCTTCCTTGCCCTCTGACCTCAGCACTCACTCACCCTCCTCCCTCCAGTCTTAAGTGGTCTTCTCAATAGTCTCCCAAGCTTCTGGTGTTGCTCTTTAGTGTATCAGCAATACATGATTGTAAACTTTCCACTTTCCTGACCCCAGTGTATTACAAATGAAGGTAACAGTTCACCTCCTTGTATGCAATCATTAATCTATGAATTATAGTATGATCCAATCTTTACATTCTATTTTATTGGATTCTGGTGATCTTGGTGTGGTTTATCATTCCTTATCCTCCTTTTATCCCTTTTTAACCAAAATAAAGAGGATGTTTGAGAGGAAGGGGAAGAGAAACTTGCCACTTACAGGAGTGACAGAAGTATTTCACTTTTACATAATACTCTGAATACTCTTTCTGGGGATTGTCATGCAACGTTGGGAGTCATATCTGCCTATCTACTGAGATTATCACCATAGTGATCAATGACAGATAATAAGAATTTCAGTTCTACAAGTCCCTGCTATGAGGAAGTCAAAAGAAAACTAAGCTGCTCAAGAATAAGGCAGATGTTTTTAGTGAGTTCATACAAATAAGAAGAAACATTTTCTGCACATGATTCCATCAAAGAGCATTTCATGCAATGTTAAAGACAAACATGTTTAACAAAAAACACACAAAGTTTGTGTCTTCTTACATCATTAGTAACTGCTGGAGAAAAATATGTCCTAGCAAGAGAAAAAATCCTATTCAAATACGTTATCATCAGACCATTAAGATAATTTGGAAAATTGTTTCAGAACCATTTGGATGGCCATGAAAACCTGAAAATAGATGTTGAAAACCTGACAATAGGTGTTGAAAACCCGACAATAGATGTAAGAATGTAGCCCTTTCCAAACACATTAAAACCCAATGAGCAGGTTTGTCAGGAATTTTTCTTGGTTGGGATTGTTGTCTTCCATAGCTGTCCTGGAATGAGAGCTGGTTCCAGCTACTATGGCTGACACATATATAAGTCACATTATTGTGACAAGCATTATTATTGACACCACAGTAATGTGCTTGTCACAGCAATGGTACAATTGCCCTAAACTGGCATATTCCAAATGCTTCTCCCCATCCTGCTACAGCAGCAGTGTGTACATTAATGAGAGTCTATCTCTGTCTGAAGTAATGATGTGGTTTCTGAGAGCTATTGCAGGACTGAGGATATCTTACATGGCAGCAGGGAATGCAACTCATTGCACCTGAGCTAAATGCCACTCAACCTCCAGGGCAGGGGCACCACATCAACACAGCACAATAATCACATGTAATCCAGGTAAGTATTTTGGGCACAGCACTCCACTGGCATGGCCATGCTTCTCTCAAGACCTCCCAACAGCCCGAGGCCTTCCAGAAACATGTTGACATAACACTTTGGACATGCATGTGGCTTCTTTCTCATCAAATTCCAGTTGTTAGTCCCCATTCAGGCATCACTCTCCAGCCTTGAATCCAGGTGGGATGTCAGATCTTGTGTTCCCTCACACACAACATCTCACACCAAAGAAGAAGGAGACTGCATTGAAGCTGCATATGAAGAATGGTTCCTGGCCAAGGCTCACCTTTGGCTCAGGCAAGGCAGTTGTCTTGGAGATTAATTGTCACAGGCCAAGGCTGTACTGAGGAGTGTGCTACTGGTCTTACCGTACAGATGGTTACACATCAGTTCCTCTGCTCTGGGCTTGTCCTGGCAATACTGTGCTTCTAGTAGAGACATAACCATAGTTAATATCGTTTTGGAGTAGATGAACCTGGGCTAAATCATTTTGACTGTCAGCAGGACTGCTTATTCCGGTGTTGAAGCTGGATCACATGGTTTCTGTCAGTCCAGAACAAGCTCAACTGCACTGTAAAGTAACATGTAAATACATTATAACCCAGGGCATTATATAATCAGATCCTCATGCTATAGGAAACAGCATGTTCCAGAAGTGCCTTTGAGTTTGTGCAGGACTGGAACAAAAGTGCAATTCTGTTTGCAATCCAGAATTGTACATGATGTACAGCTAGGCATCTGGGCAAACTGAACCAAGAAACTGCTGCTGCTCAGAATTTCCCTGATGTCCACAGGAGTGTTTCTACAGACTAAGTTGTGAACCATATCCTAAATGATTAGTAATTCATATCACTTTATCATGGGCATGTCTGTGGAATTGCAGTATTTGATTAGATGCTCTACTCAAATGGTTTTGTGTGAGAGGACCTTGGCAGTATCTTGCCTGTCGTCTCTTTCACATTGTTTCACAGGTTTCTCTCTGCTCCCTGCTGTGGCCCCAGATATTTTCTTCCCCTGGGATTAAGTCAGATGCCTCATGCCACGGCAGTCTGTAACTGAAAATGCTCGCTCCTGCCTGGCATGTTGCATCCTGGTGGTCCAGGTCTTCTAAATCCTGACAACTCTGATCATTTGAAATAAAAAAATAAAAAGAAAAAAAAAGGAGATTGCCAAGAGACTGCAAAATGGCCCAAGTTCAGCTAAGCATAGACTAAAATTAAGATGCTTTCTTTGGTATCAGTGTTCAGTGCTTTGCTGAATTGTGGCCTGAAGGAAGACCAAGGTCCTATCTGACATTTTCAGAAAGTTCACAGGCCTTAAATGAATTCTGTCTTTGGATGAAGGATATGGGATTTTCAACCTTACAAGCATTGCTTTGAGGTATTTTGCATTGAAAGGTGAAATTCGGAGGCTTCTATGTTTCATATTATCATCAGATCTCTCTGAAAGCAAAAGCTTTGCACATTGGATATAGTTTGCAATGAGTTTGAATAACTGCGTGGATTTTATGCATGAGTAAAATAACTTCATCATTATTTTCTAAAATCAATTCCAAAAGACACTGCAATTTCAAATCCATGTTTTTAATGGAAGGTACCATATATCCAAAGTATGTCACAAATTTAATTTATCAAAAATCCACTACAAAATCATCATGAATGAAAGTTTTTCAGCTAAAACTTCTCCAAGGATAAAAAAATGATGAGTGGCTGTATGCTATTCTGGAAGCAGATCCTCTCCTAGTTCTTCATCAGCAAAATCATCTTCCTCAATTCTTTTTCTTGCTGCAGTTTTTGGCCTTTCTGCTTGTGGGCCAAGCGGATCTACATAGGAGGCATCTAGGGTTTAAATAAATACATTAAAACAGTTAGCTGCAAGTAATTTCAGCTTTGTTTAAAACATACAAAATCAAACACAAGACTGGGTTCTAGCATTACACATCTGTAAGGTGTCTCTGAAAGGCAGACCAGAAAGAGCATATGAATGCTGAAGGGGAACAAAATGCTGCGTTTAGGAACTGAGACAGGGCACAAGAGCAAAGTTCCCGAGTGCTGGTGATAGAGCCTTTTTTTCCCCCTTTTTAAAAAATAAATTTCTTGTTATTATATTACAGTGAGAAAAAGACTTCAGGAAAGTGCAAGGAACAGCAAGGCTGATGACTCTGTTACGGAATGGCTTTTTATGAAGCACCACATTCCACATGGATTTGGGTTTTTAAACCCCTTTGAAAATCTAGTCTTACTGAAGAACTCAGGACTGCAGAACCACAAGAACTGACTTTAAGGACGCAGCAAGCAGATACCAAAAGTAATACTTACATGGGCCACATTTCTTAACATTTACAATTACTTTATACTGAGCTCTTAACAATGAAGCTGAAGCCATTTATTTCATGAGGAAAATGTTCCTCCAACTATCCCATTTTACATGCTCTTCCAATATTTTTATCTTAGTTTTTTCCCTATCTCTTCTCTCTGAGGGCCAGGAACGTAAGAAGGTATAAGATGCCCACTTGCCTATTTCTTTACTGCTGCTACTTTCATAGGGTTCACTTGTTCCAGGCAAAGCTTTTAGTCTGGCACTCAGTCTTTCCCCTTTGGGACCACCACTATCTGGGGAACAACAAAAAAAAAAGAAGACAAATAACATGCTGTTATGTTCCGTGAAATCATGATACAAGAGCAACATCAATTCAGCTACTACTATCTGTCAAACAAGATTTGGATGAAGCCATCTTTTCATGATGGATACAGTACCCAGTTGTAATAGTGGTCTTTGAAACACAATGGACAACTGTGTCCACACACATGTGTGTGTTAGTGTTTTCAAAAAAATATATACAGCCTTATTTACTTTGGAGTAAACACATTAAAATATTTCTGCTTCAGATGCTGACATTTCAGTTGCTTATAAATTACAGTCACATTTTGGAGTTAAAATAAGCATGATAAATATAAACACTGTTACAGTGTATACAGGACATTTCATGTGTTTGTGTGCTTACTAATATATCAGTATGATCCACCTGTTCAATACTGTCAAGGTTAAACACAACACTAACTTTGCTTTTAATTAGAAGAGCATATTTGCCACGTGCTGTCTGCATGGCAGGCAGGCACAGTTCGTGTATACAGACCATCCTGGCCATGCATCTTGCTGTAAACACTGTGCTGGCAGCTCAGTTTGCAGCGGGGCCCCAAGGAATGTGTCGGCTCCAAGAGCTGCCTCCTGCCCAGACAACATCAGATTAACATTCTCTTGCCACAGCAGTATTCCAGACACTTTAAATATTCTGTTCACCTCTGAATCTCTTTTTCACATTCATGGCGAGCTTTCAACTTCATCTGCTACAACAGATTTTTATGCAACTTTTTTTCTCCTAGGAGAAAACGCTTCATGTTTGACTTTGGTACGCTTACAAGGCAGGACATGCCATGCAGCCAAATACAAACATGCTCATTTACAACACCAAACAATGCTTTTATTAAAAGTCTTCCATCTGAAAGGAGGAAAAATGGGTTTAATTCAGCAAACATTAATTACAAAGTCTGGCCTTGGCAACATATTTCCATTGTCTTACTTACTATAAATGTTATTTTAACAAATATTGTTACTATGAAAAGAAAAAAAATCCCAACTAACCCCCAAACTTCCACAAAGATGACAAACCTTTATTTCTGTTTAAATACTACTACAGACTTCAGTTTACTCAGCCCTGAACTGAAAAACAATCTCTGCTCCTAGAAAGATCTATTACACAGTCACATGTCAAACAGCTAATAAGTTCACAAGACACAGATTACAGTTGAAATTTCAAAGCAAGGCAAATGTATTTTAATGTACATCCAGATCCCTCAGGCCAATTCTCACTGACAGGTTTCATGAAAGTGAATGTTTAATGAAGGATTTGAAGAAACAGAGAAAAACCAATGGATTTACTTGGGGGTTAACTAAAGGGCTGTGAAATCACAAAAGGGCTAACCCCTGGACAGGCCTGTGCAACAAGGAGGTGAGTGCTGAGCTTCAAAGATGGTGTGGATGAAAATGTTTTCAGGAGTTTAGAGGAGAATACAAAATATTTGACAGGGAGCACAGTCTTGCTCAATAGAAAACAAATAATTTACAAGATAATGAATGAAGTTGGAAGGAACAGTAAAGAGATGCAAAGACAGGAACAATACAGAAGAAACTACACTGGGGAAGACTGAACTAGTCAAAGAAACTCCAGGTTTAATTGATTGGCTCCAGAAAGGAGGAACTCAGTGCAATGAAAACCAAAGAGGAAGAAGATAGCATAATCAAAGGTTTTTCAGCTGTGAAGGAGGAAACACAGGGGTTTTAGTGATATCACCAGAGGAAGGTGAAAGACTTTATATTAACTGAAAGAAGGAAAAAAGGATGGTAGACAAACCAAAATGGCTGGGATAAATGTAATACCCACAAGTTATCTGCACATGATACTGCCCTAAAGAAATACAATTGAAAACAGGCTTTCTTGGACATCCTAGGACCCTGAAGTTTTACTAGGGCTACATCTGAAGAGGGAATGTGCTAGTAAGTCCAAAATTTGAAGACAATTTTTCCCTTATTTCTCTCCTCATCTAGTGGATGTCCAACCCTTGAAATATCTAAACCTCACCAGCTGCTCCCCATTCCATAGCTCTGAAGTTTCTTAAGCACATATTGCAGTGATTGAGGGACATCCTAGGACCCTGAAGTTTTACTAGGGCTACATCTGAAGAGGGAATGTGCTAGTAAGTCCAAAATTTGAAGACAATTTTTCCCTTATTTCTCTCCTCATCTAGTGGATGTCCAACCCTTGAAATATCTAAACCTCACCAGCTGCTCCCCATTCCATAGCTCTGAAGTTTCTTAAGCACATATTGCAGTGATTGAGTTGCCCAAAATGGAGGTTGTTCACCTGGAGCCTAAACTTCCCTTTCTGTTTATGAGCCAATACAGTAAATGTAATTGTGAGTGCTGTTGACAGTGAGTGAATGTAGCTGTTCACACAAATACAGCTTTTTAGGCTTCAGACTTGATTCAGCTGCCCAAAGACATTATTTAGTGAGTTTAATGGACTGAACCAATTCACCAAAGGGTTGGACTAATGCTAGAAGTGGTGCAAGGAAAGGATCAAGAACACATGACCAGGAATGGGAAAGAAAAGCAATGCTGAGAGGGGCTGGACTGTTCCTTCCAGAAGCTGCTAGTTATTTGATCAGTACATCCCACAAAACGCATCCGAGAAAAAACTATAAGGAGTCTATGGGCACAGTGTCCTCTTAACACTTTAGAAGTAAGAACATACAGATGCCTTACTAAAGATCTGTCTAACCTGGCTTATTGTCCATACAAAAGGAGACCAAGATGCTTAGGGAAGAGCATTATGAATAGAGCAAGCATTTACAGGAGCTCTCCAAGAAAAATTTCCTAGCCTTCAACAATTTGTACATCAAGCATGTGTTTCGGGAAAAGTGGCAATTCTTCATATTTAAAAATGATTGATTTATTCTCAAGAACTTGTTCAGTCTTCTCTTGAGACCAAACTGTGAAAGTTTTGCATCTGTGAGTACCTGAGGTAAGGAGAACTCCTTTCATTCACTCTGAACCTATCAATCTAGCCCCCACTTTGCCACAGAGAGAAGTACCCTGCCCTTTGTGTCCTGTGTCATATCCCCTTCCATGTGCTGTCCAGTCAAAGCAGGCTGTGCTGGAGCAGGTTCCTGATACATTTAAAACTAACCTAACGAAAACTTTTTCTCAAGTGGAGCAGCAAAATAATGCAGCTCACACAGCAAGAGTGAAGGGAAGGTCAACATCTCCTCTGATAGCAGCCCACAGTTAGTTTAAATTAGGCTAATATGCAAAACCACATCAAGTCTCCATGGACAGCACTGTGCTCTGAGCATACCTAAAAATGTAAAGATGTTCCTCTTCCAATGTTAAAGTACATCCAGAAGAAAGTAAGAGGTGCTTGACAGCATCTAACATTACATGGAGATGTGAGACAGCAGCTCTGAAGTGAGAGGTCTGGCTTCACTGCCTTTCTTCACCTGAGGCAGTTCAAACCTACAGTTCCAACTTGCAGGAGGAATGTCCGAGTTGTTGAGCCATTTTGGGTAAGCTTTTCTTGACACTCTACCATGGGACACAGGATTTGGCTGCCAATATGACAGCTATTAAAAATGCTGTTGATATAACATGATCTGCCAGAAGCCTAAATCTCATCTCAAAATTACTTTCTGTTTGCAGATAAATCTTCTACATGTTTTTATTCAGTACACATTCACACATAATTTGGCAGTGTTAAGGAATATAAGCTTGGCAATGCAGACTTCAGGATTTTGGTATCCTCCAGCTAAGAGAATGTCGGGGAAGGAATTGTTTTTAAAGCATTTTATCACAGACATGCATACTTTTGGGAGTTTCTCAGACTGCAAATTCTCTCTGTATTAACTGTACAAACAATGCTCCTAATTAAAGACAGCTCTTGAATAATGGAGGGCCACTGCTGAACTAAACTGCTCTCTGTATCTCAGGAAACCTTCACTGCAATGAATACCTGCTCCTTATTTATTGCCTTGTTGTGCTTTTATTTAATAAGTACGATATTGGTGTGGTGCATGTGGAAGCCAGTCCCAGTGTACTCACTTTGGGGTGAAAATGTGGACACACAAACTGAGTGCAGACACATGGCTCCACATTTCAGTTGAAAAAGGAACAGTAACTGACTAAGCAGAGCTGGCCAATATATTTTTAAACTCTGATTTATAAATACATTTACTCTGTAAAATGATTATACTCGAGACCTGGATTATCATGCTGACATTATCTTCCCCTCACAGTCTGTGCTGAACAGCCTTAACTGGGGACTATGCGTACAAAGACATAAATAATACACTCTGCATGCTGGTGTCTTTTACAGTGCATTCCTTCCTCTCATCTGTTTAAAAGTCATGGCCATAATATTATATTTAGGACATCTAAATTACTGCATTATAACAGGTTTCATCCCTTTAGATTTGTTTGACTTCTTACAAAACTAATTTGAACTAATTTCTCCACATAGAATTTGGAGAGGGGGAAAAAAAGAATCAAAATATAAAACTCAGTTTTAAAAAATGGCTAATTTTATATAGCAGAAAAATGAATAAAGCAGCATATTGCAAAAGTAATCCTACTTTATAATAATCCTATTTTAAGTAGTGATATCTAACAAAACAGATTCTTAAATCTTTATGTATAGTTTCTGTGATTCCTATGTTGCTTGATACCTGTGTGTACCTCAACCCATAAAATCCACAGCATTTGTATTTATTTTTTTACAGAAATGTCACTAGTTGCAATTATAGTTATGAGACTACTGCACTGGAAATTCCTCCACTGTCACCGAGGGCGTAAATTAGAATTCTTAGTACCATTTTACTCATCAGGAAAAGATGTCAAAGGGTAAGGTGGTTTGGTAATCTACCTCCTCTCTAAAATGTTTATGTAACAAAGTGCACAGTGAGCTAATGCTCCACTAAATCCAGAATGAGTTTCAAGTGCAGCTCTGGGTGTATTTCCTATTTGGGATGAAGACACCATCTCTGGAGAAGCATGGGCATTGGTTTGACCTAAAAGAAGAGTAAGCTCAGCATAGAAGGCAGAATATGACATTAAAACTCCTGTGAAACAGCATGGGAAATGGATGCCATTTTTAACTCACTGCAGTTCATTTTGCTTAGAAACTCTGTCCAATGAAAATTGTTTGTGACGTGTCAGCTCAGCTAACTCCTGAGGTGAGTTCAGAGCAGAAAACAGATTAAGATGATCTCTTCACTCAGAGACTTTCCCTGTTAAATCTTTTTTCTATTCTGCATTCACAGCCAATGGAACCATCCCACAATGACTTGTAATTTACGAGGCATCAACAGACACATGAAGCCTAGAAAACATAAATAATCATCATGTCCTGCTGCAGGATGACAAGAGAATCTCTTGCCTTTATTGCAGTCCTAAGATCTATATATGCTTCCATATTATATGAGGAGACCCCTGTGGGATGGTGAAGGGTGTTTGAATATGGGCTATCTGGGATGCCCCAACCCATTTCTCTGCTGACACTGTCAAGGGTGAAATGAAAAAGGGAAAAGACACCTAAATTATTCTTGCATCATTTTGTTTCCAAAATCACTCTGGACAGGCTTAGGTAATAAGGAGAATGCAAAGTGCTCAGCCTTTCATCTTCTGAATTCAACACTGCTTCTTTGGGCTCCTGTCCGAGACTGCATGGCTCCTCTCTCGCAGTACACAACTCCCCATTCACAGACCAAGTAAACACTGCTAAGGCAATGTATGCCTTAAAGTCATACTTCTCACTGTCTACATGTACAAAGGCATTATGCTACTAAGCAGTACAAATCTCTTATGGCAGTAAAACCCACAGTGTCCTTACTTCTAAATTCTGGATGTTACCATCATGTATCTGCAAAACATGAAAAAGTGAGTCTGAAAACAAGAAAAGATTATTGGAAAGGAAATCTTTGAGAACTGCCTAAACTCAGATGTATTGTGAGCTCCCCTCATGGTTTTGTGGTGTTTTGGTATTAATGGGAGTGTATCAATGTCCTCTGCTTCCAACATAAATCAAGTAAGGCTGAAACCCATAAATCTCATAATAGTAGGGAGAAGAAAATTTCATTTTTTATAGTAAGAGTGACAAATGTGTTCAATTTTTGGGTAGGGATTTTAGATTTAATGCTTATTTTTCTCACAAGACAAGAGCAGACTTTAACTGATGTTGATATAGATTGCCAGTTTTCTTGGTCTCCCTGTTTCCATTCTGTCTGCCATTCATGCATGCATTCATCATATTGATCAAATTATGCTTTGGTGCATCTCAAACACCTTCTGCTCTCATTCACAATGGCAAAGTACTGGATGTCCCATGAAATATAAATCCTGCTGGCTTAGGTGTCTTTTCTCTTAGTTTCCTCTTTAAAAGCAATTTTAGATCATATTTCCTAAACCAAAGAAGCCTGACTTATTAATACTCCTAATATAAATAACTACATAGGGACAAAATACTTTGGGGAAAAAAAAATATCTGTTAGGAATGCCAGCAAGTATGGGGACAGTGAGCTGGTAAGAAGAAAGAAATAAAACAGGCATCATACCTAAAATACTTGGAATGCATACACACTTCATTTATCTGGTAAGTACTTGAATTTAGCTAATAGGTACTAAACTAAGGAGGATTCCATGCTTCACTGGGTTCAGTAATGATGGCAAATCCCTCATATATGATCCCTTTTGGTCTTGGCAACACCACTGGAAAAGACTAATCCTAAAATGTATACAAACGTTTCTTTTTTTTTCTCTTCTTTTGAAGTCACTAATTTATCCAAAGCATACTAAGATTATGAAAGAAAATAACCCCTGTGTCTTCACACAGGCCATGAACAGAAACTTATTAAACTGAAAACACAGTTTATAATCCAGGTGAATAACGCCAAACACTGGACAAAAAAATGTTTGGGTCTTCAGTTTTCTCTTAGCCATCCTCAGCAAAAGGCTGGCAAACTACAACACCGTCCTTAACATCTGATGCTGTGGGTGTGCAGTTTCTTCACTGATAGGTTTCCCCAGAGACAACATTACTAGTTAAAACATGTGTACTGCCTCTGACTCCTAAACAACTTAAGCAGTACATCTCACCACAACTTTTAATTAAGAAGCCCAGCAGAAAGCTAACTCCAGGCTCAATACAGGACCTTCTTTGTACCCCTGCTTGTCTGCCGAGTCATTTCCAGAAAGGCTGGATCTTTGGCACTGGATGTGAATAACAGGAGACTTCTCAAACATGCTCTTACACAGACTGGTTACCAAACTCTGGTTTTTTCCATTCTTTCATATACTCCACATGATATCTTGAATGGCAATCAAAGAAATTCTAGGTCAATTCTGACCCTGCTTACCCTCTAATCCTCTTTTTAAAATTTTCTTTTAATTAAAAGACACCTTCCCATAGATACCTCTGCCCTTAACAGAAGTATTGACAAACTGGTAGTTTGGGGGATTAATGTGTCTTAGCATCCTTTCAGCTTGATCTTTATATCTTCTTTTGCTAAGCTACTGACTCTCTCCTGATAAACATGCCTTTTTTTCAATACAGCTCAACAGAGTTGTAAGAGACCCTTTGTGCCACTTCCCTGCAAGCCTGATGCAATGTTTTGCACAGCTATAAATACCTATGCTTGCTACCTAAGCTGCTCTTCATTTCTATTTATTAAAAGCCAAACTGGATCTTCACTTTATGACAGAGAACAGGGACCAATGCTGTCTCACACTGCTGTGTTGTCAGCACCTCTAGCTGGCTGCCTAATCACAGGGCTTCTGTAAAAAAGAGGAGAGTCCAGAAACATTTCTAGCCCTCTCTGTTACCAAAATAAGGAATTTCACTCCAAGAATTACTTTGGCCCGAGGCCCAGCACAGGTAAAATTCAATCCTAGATGAATGGTGTTTTTTCTACACATCAAGAAATTATTTAAAAGCTTCTCTAGTGAAACTACTGAGCTGAAAAAGGAATGAGATCTCTCTTAAGCATCCAACACTCGTTCTTAACCCTTAGAGAATCCAGGAGAGCAGTCTTCACAAAGGAAACAGCATTCTGAGGTCATCTTCAGATTACACTATTAATTTCCATGACCCTACAGAATTTGATAAATGTAGTGAAACATCTGCTACGTAGATGGAGAAATAAAATAATGAAATAAGAAAAAAAAACCCTGTAAATTACTTCTCTGTAAAAGGAAGAGAGGCAAGAATTTATAGGGGATATCTTTTTATGAGACCCATTGATATTAAGGTAAACAAAAAACAGAATACAAAGAAGCCATTTCCTTTTTGGGCCAAAATATGGATTTTTAATTTTTTTTCCCCAGGTGGCTGAAGTAGCTTGAAGTCTGCTAGTTTCCTTAGAGCAGCAGTGGGGAACAATTAGGTTAACATTTCATGAATTTAATAATGGGAGGGAAAAATCATTAGCTCTGCAATATGTGGGCTACCTAGAGCAGAAAAGACAAAGCAGAACAGCTTCCTGACCTACACTGCAAGAGCTTTCTGTTTATGGAAGTCAGCATTGCAAATCTATAGAGGCAGAAATACTTAGTAGCCAGAAAGCAAGCTTTCATCTAGGGAAGACTGTCACTTCCGTTCTCTTACACTGGGAAAAGGGGAAGGAGGAGTTCAAAAACTGTACAGGTATATTCTTATTATGGTTGCACAACATAGCCTTCTGAACTTGTAACAAACACCTAATACAACAGACTAGATAGTAGACACAACATTCCCTTCCCTTCATGCTGAATAAAGACACAATGAATTGCTGTTTTTCATGGCTTACATGTTCTGTTTCAATAAATGACTCCTTATAGCAAATATTCCAAATGGGATAAAAATGTTCAAGTCCACAGTACTGAAAACAAGCCGAAATTTAGCTTTAGGAATACACTGAGATCACTGTATAAAGCACAAATCCAAATCCATGCTAGAGTTTCAGACAGCAAAGAGATGATCAGAAAGGACGAAACAAAATTTGTCAAGTACTTACATATTGCTCAATACATATTTGTGTGCATTCAGGAGGTTTTACAAGCACTTTCAGGGAAGTATTTTCTTCAGAATCCTGAAAAATCTGACATTTGAGCAGAGGCATTGAGTACTTACCACCACTTCCTTCTCTGCGGTTACGTGCACTGCCATCTCTGCCAGACTTAATACGCTGGAGAACAGTGGAAAAAGGTTTGAAAAGAACAGAACCAAAAAACCCATTTATATATTAGAGATAGTTACTGAAAATTCAACTTAGCTTACTAATAAAACAGCAGAAGAATGTTAAACTAGACTTACTACACTCTAACTAATAAACCTTGCTTTTTCAACACTCAAAATTGTCCTTAAAAATGAGTGCTAAATCCAGTGTTTACATAAGAGTTCTGTGAAATTCAAACAGAACATCTCAATAAATTATTTTTCTTCAGATAAAATCTATATGAGGAATGTGCATAAAAATAGTTCAGATGTTCCTTTGTGAAGTACAGCTGAAAAAACAGGCAACATAGCCCTCCTTGCACAAGTTCAGAGTAGCCTCTGCCTATTAACATCTTGTAAATCCCACAAGCATTTCATTATTGTTAAGATTCAAGGGGGAGAAGAAGGGGAATCTTTTATAAAAAGAACTATTCACCCCATGGATCTTAGATTTTTGAATTCTTGGCACAGCACTATACTTCACAGCAAAATTTAACTTGCTGTTGAGTGTTAAATGCAAGATAAAGGTGAAGGTAAATACTTTAAAATCTGTGTTTAAAAAGTCAGGTCTCATGCACAGAGGAAAGTACCATAAACATCATCCAGCTGTGTTTTTTTTAGTGTTATTTGAAAACTTTAACAGTTTATCAAAGCAATACCTCTGTATGACATGGCAGACTTGGCTTCTCCTGGCAAAACACCAAATTTGCCATGCATACATCTTGTCAATTACAAGAAGGTACATCTCAGTGAGGGACTTTTTGATAGGTGCAAAAACTTGGTGTTCAAAGCACTCAGCTGTTAATAAAGCATCTCTGCATCTTATTTCAAAATATGAATTCTGGATCTGATTACAACGCATGTGCACACTACCTAACCATGTCTTCAGGTCAGTTACTGTAGCTTCTTGACTTATTTTTTTCCAGAAAAATATCATGGAGTCTGGCAAAATTGGAACAGTACCAAAGGAGTGAAGAAACTTCATGCCAACAGAAAAAGGAAGAACTCTTAAATCAAAACTCACAGGAGTCAGACAGGAAAGCATTGAGCCTACTGTGAAACCAGGAATGGTCTTGGAGCAATTTGGTCTAGGACCTGAATTTCTCATACGTTTTGTTTATTTTGGGAAATCCTGCAGTCTAAAATATGTTCTCTGAATTTTGGATTCAATATCCTTTTTCACAGTCCAGTGAAGCAGCATATAGCAGTCCTTCAGGAAGCATGTTCAGGCAAATGTTGAATGACTGACAGCAAATCTGACAGTGGAAGCTCAGCTTCTGTCTGCCCGAGGGGAAGTGGTCCCTATATAATAGTGCCCGCTTGCCATTTACATCCTAGGACTTTACTCCCAAAATATTACATAAATACTACAGCTTAAGCATATGATTAATTCCTGTAAAGTTCCAAGTGAGTAGTTTGTAAGTAATCCCATACTCAAAGCATACATTTAAAACCAGTTTCCACCCTACAAATGCCTATTTCTCTCCCATGGCTGCAAAAGACATTTGGGATGGTTAGCCCAGACATAGATGCCTGAAGGTAAAGGCACTAAGTTCCTCCCCAGCATTTGCACCTATCATCACTGCTTCACACCACACCCGATCAGCCCCTCATTTTCAGTCATTGCACTCTTAATGGAAATAAACAGCACCCTGTGTGTGTGCCAGTGCCAAGGAGGTTGTGTGAACTTCTACACTATTACCTGTCTTTTTTAACTGAAACATGGAAAAGGGAAGATTAATGCAGAACCCCTCCCTGCCAAAACAAAACCAAAAGAACCTCCCAAAAGCCCTCAACAGATGAAGGCCACAACAAAAACTGAATGCTGTGAGAGGCAGAGAGAAAAATTTCTACAGGGAACGAACTCCACAGATGTTACCAGATTCTTGGCTGGAAGTATTTAACAACTTGTTCATATTTGAGAACTGAGGGAAATAAGTACTCCAGAATATTTATTTTGGTATAAACTCCATGTGGATATACTTATTCTGGAAAAAAACAATGCCAGAATAGCAAATTTTGATCAATTTCTACAGAAAGACAAAGTCTGTGTGCAGCCTTTGAAATGCAGGTATACTACCCTAGCTTTTAGCTATTTTATCTTTACTGGGTGCAATGGAGAAATCACAGGGTGGTCTGAAATTTGGAACAGGAATTGAACTGTATCTGGTATTGCTAACTGAAACCAGTATTCCTGTTGGAAACTTGGGTAATATTAAAATTTGGTAATTCTAGAACTTGAAAGTACAGTTTATGGCTATATGGTCATGGATGACAGAAGGAACTTCTTAGGACAAAAACCCCAAACCCTAGTATTTTCCAAAGCCAGATGGTAGACATAGGACTAAAAAACCACACACATACACACACACTGAAACAAAGGAAAAAGAAAAATCCCCCAACCCAAAACCAAGGGACAGGACCCAGATGTAGTATCAATAAAGGAACTGCAGGGCTACAGTCTGCAAGACAGCACTGATGTTGAGATTGTCACAGAAAGATACTCAACTTCTAACACAGAACCAAATCACAGTGCGTCCTGTAACATCATTTCTTAGAGTCTTTGTTCCTTTACAACTGCAACATTGTTGATTTTTAAGAAAAATGGGTCAGTAGGTTTCTTGGAAGGTAGAAAAAGTTGTTCCTTTCCTTGAGGAGCAATTTGGGAGATTTCATTGTGGTGGACAAAAGAGCCAGAAAAGGGAGATGGGAGCATGTCCCTCCAAGACAAGGAGCTGCAAGAAGGTACAGTAAGCAATTCAGACTTCAGAGGCTCTTAAGAGAGTGTACTAGGAACCACAGGGGCATAATTTTGCTGCCATTCAGAAACTCACCCAGCTTATTCAGGCTGGGAGCACTGGCCTATCTGCAGGAATGAAGTTGGAGCTGACTAGAAATCTGTTTTATTTTTATTGGTAGTGGTTTTGAGGGGGCAGGGAGGGGAGTGCTTGGCCTGGGTTTATTTGGGGTTTTTTAAACCTAGTACATTTCATTTTTCTCTGTTTAAATGAAAACTAGTTTAATTTAAATTATAATGCAATCAGGCTTATATAAAAGGCGAATTTAAAATGTGGGGTTTTTTTTTCATTTTCTGGACAACACACTACAACGAAATATTTAGGCAGATCTACCTTAAAGCTTTGACTAATTAGAAGTGCCATCACAGATATCTTATTCTTCCCTCTGCTCTCACAAGACTCTGCCTGGATTGCTGTGTCCAGCTCTGGAGCCCCCAACATAAGAAGGACATGGACCTGTGGAGCAAGTCCAGAGGAGGGCCACAAAGATGATTAGAGGGCTGGAGCACCTCTCCTGTGAAGACAGGGTGAGAGAGTTGGAGCTGTTCAGCCTGGAGAAAAGAAGGCTCTGGAGAGACCTTACTGCAGCCTCTCAATACTTAAAGGGGGCTTATCAGAAACACGGGCACAGACTTTTTACCAATGCCTGCAGTGACAGGATGAGGGGTAAAGGTTTTGAACTGAAAAAGGTAGACTTACATCGGACATAAGTGAAAAAAAAGAAAATCATGATGAGAGTGGTGAGACACTGGCACAGGTTGCCCAGAGAAGCTGTGGATGCCCCAACGTTGCAAGTATTCAAAGCCAGGCTGGACAGGGCTCTGAGCAACCTGGGCTAGTGGAAGGTGTCCCTGCTCACTGCAGGGGGGCTGGAACTCGATGCTCTTCAAAGGTCCCTTCCATCCCAAACCATTCTATGATGCTGCTTTGCAAGGTTAGTTTTGTGAGAGGATAGAGTCTCCAGACTCTGAAACAGGAATACTGAAATGTAATACAGAGTGAAAGATTTCCATGGTCAAATTACGATCACTATTAGAGTCTGAATAGTCTTAACCAGCTATGCAGTAACTTGTGCTACCATGCACTGCACTGGATTCTGTTCATACTTCTGTCATTTAGGTACGACTCAATGATTCCCTTAACACAATAAAGTCAGAAACCCCCATAACTTAAAGATAACTTCTGTGTTACCAAAATGTCAAGTACCTTAGACAATCTGAACTTTTAAATACTCTACTGGTAGCTTTTGCTCCCCCAGAGAGTACAGAAATGTGTTTGGGAAAGCTCTTGCTTCCAACATGAAATAAACAGGAAGAGATGTGACAATTTTTTATTTTCTTTTTAACATAATCAAATATAACTTTCTTAAAGGAAAAAAAAGTGTTTTAATTGAAATCCTCAGCATTTGTAGATCTATGGTACACAATTAACATCTTCATTTAAGAATTACATGCAAGGAAATAGATAACCTTTCCATCTCGAGGCACCTCTTTCTTATGAACTATAAAATAATCCAGTTTTGACTGGTTTCATCAGGGAGCTTTCCCAAGTAAAGCGCTGAGGTATTGAAAGTTACTGCAAAGAACTATGTATGTCACTGACATCGAACTGATACTCCCTAGAAACCAAACCAAGCCTGTTTAACACACTTCAGAGAGATCTCCTAACCATGAGTTTAGCAGAATAGGAACATTATATCTGGTCATCTGTTTTGCTTACTGGTACAATTATGGGAGACATGGAGGAATATTAATCCCACTACAGCTGTGGACTGCTTTCTTCTGTCTGTTTTTCCAAGTGCTTTACATTTTGCAGTTACTGAAAATCCAAACCAATACACTTCAACTAGCCCCTCAAAGTAAGGTTGCGGCATAAAGCTGGAATCCTTTGATCGGTGTTTCCCTTTGTGAGTTTCATTGTTAAAATGTCCTAGTGTTCATATGCATCCTCAGACTCCCTGGAATTTAAGTAAAAGTTGCTAAGGATGCATTTACACATTATCTGACAGCAAAAGGGAGTCGGTAGGTGTTACTATAAGCAGAGTAAATTAGTTAAGATCTAACATGTCCTAATGTGACTGACTATGCAGCTTTGAGGCAATTCCCTGGAAAGAAAAAGCAAGCTTGAACACTTTGCAACTCAACAGCATGGACAATGCTTCTCAAAGAAGCAGCTGGTTTTGATTTTAAAATCTTACTTTATCACAGGAATAGCAAAAAATAATGCACGAGTGCACACACACACAACACGTGTCTGCTCACTCTTCTGAGCAGAGCACAAGTTATGATCTCATACCTTTCACAGCCTGTAGCTCTTCCATGGAATTTTTTTTTTCAGTTTAAAAATTGGCACTAAGAGGAATACTTTACTTCTACCTATGTCATCTGTCAATGTTGCAGCTTTGTATATGGCAAAAAGGAGTTTTTCTACATGGACAAATTCTTAGGCTCTCTGTTTTTCCCTATAGTTGCATTATTACTTGGCTCACAAGTACATTAAAGTATTAAATACAATCTGGCAAGTAAGTAGGAAAGACTACATTCCAGAGACATTGAATTATGCAAGTGGCTCCGGCATTTCCATCACATCCACACAGTCCAACTTTCACTAGGATTTAAAAATCACAGAAAATCTGGTGCTCAAAAACTATTCAGACAGATATAAGACTGATCAGTAACTTAAAACTAAACCCCCAAACTTCAAGCCTCTCTAAACCAGGAACTTACACTTTTCATCTTGACGTATCATAAATACTATTTTAGCTTCATCTATAGATGCAGTGATATACTGTATAATACATAAAGAAACAAACTTACCTGCTCTCTTATTTCTTTTAATTTTTCCACTTTCTTGAGCTTTGTTACATATTCCTGGACTTCTTTCAGTCCCATATCTGTGCAGAGACGAACTAAAAATCGAAGGCCTAATTGAAAAGCAAAGCATGGTTAAAAAACAGGCTTACAAGCAAGTTCACCCTAACAGAACTGGATGTGCAGAATGGCAAACAATGCAAATAACTGGGCAAACAAGGTGATTCCAGTCCAGTGCCACTATGCAAGTTGGGATATTTAGGAAGTAATTCAACATTTTCTGTGTGTCTGTATCCATGAACAGTATAAATGCCATTTATCCATGTGGAAGGCACAAGACATACTAACTCATGTTACGAAAACCTCCCTGTCTGACCATCCAGGAGCCACTCCAGCAGTCACTCTGGCACCACCTGAGCTCAGACTAAGGTTCCCTTGCAGCTACACACATCACACTCAATCAGAGCAGGTTTCCTTACCAGCTCAACCCAGATGTCTCAATCCTTAAAATCATTTAATATCTTGGTGAAATAACTAAATAACAGCTCAAGCTGGTACCTTTATACTCATACAGTCTAAGTGTGCCAGAGTCTTGGGGTCATTGGATCCTGCTGTGACTCTGAGTGTCCTCTCACCTGGCTGTTCACGGCCTCTTGCCTTGGGTTCCTGTGCTCCAGAGCTCAACCTGCAGCTCACACTGCAGCTACACACTGAGCTACCTGTGCTGAATGTATCCCTGGACGCTCATCTGGCTCAGAACTCTCGACGTGCGCAGAATATTTTGGAAAAGGGAAAGCATAGTAATGATACTAAGTTATTACTGAGAAGCTGCCAGCACGAGCACTTTTGTTGAAAACTATTTTACAAATGCCAAGCACAACAAAATGATTTTTCTGTTGCTGCGGTTGACTGTTTCAAAGAGTAGCATTTACAAAATTAACAAAACCCAACAAACCTGACATGAAGATCAACTATAACTGTATGATGGAACACAAAACCCAAAATAGTGTCTTCTGTGATACTATACAAAACTCTGAAAACATTGTTGCTATTCCTATGTGTTTGTCAACAACACTTTGAAAGAATTTAAGCAGAAACAAGCAAACATGATCCATTACTCCCCCTACTGCTTTTGTAAACATGTTATTTCATTTTGTGCTTAGTTTTCTGCTGCTTTAGAGAGCACATTGCCAGGAAGGGATGAGTGAAGAACTATTGTTTCAGCCACAGAAAACTTAAATCAGTTAAATTGTCTTAGTCTACCTCCTGCCTCCATTTGTGTTATTTGTAGAAACCACATTAGTAAAATATTAGAAAGAACTATTAGAAAGAAAAATATTCTAAAAGATTTACTAAATACCCTTCTGAAATATATGTGACCAATATGAACATGCCATTTTGATTATAACCTTGAGGAGTTACAGTACTGAATTTCACTTGTTCAAGAGAGGTGTGTGATTCCTCTAAAAAAGCAACACATTTGCTAGAGCAGAATGATAGAATTTTAAGATAAAATACAATGAATGTCCTTCCCACACTGCATTTAAAAGCGCAGACTTGTTGGCGACAGCCCTGTATTTTGGAATTTGTGAGGCACAGTGTGGGATGCAAGAGAATGTTTTCACAACCACTGACAACCCCCTATTTTCTATTTAGAGCACAGGTGTGACTGATTTTACAAAATGTCTTACTCTTCAGAGTTGTGTTTCCAGTAGTTCAGTTTGAAATCCTCTATGGAATTCTAGAGACTGGTTGACCAACTATACTTAAAATCCCAGGAACAAAACCTCACCCCCTATATTATTTTGGAAAGCCTGGCTTTGGCAAAATTTAGCACTAAGATTTTTCTCATATCTAGAAACTTACAGCAAGAGTTTCAACTAGTAGGAACTAGAAAGTGAAAATACATATATTTTATCATAAGAATGATTAAACAAGTAGCACAGTTATAAAATTTAGGAAGTATGTATGAGAAAGAACTGACTCAGTTAAAGTTTATTTTCATCACTCTTCTTCAGCATTCACTCGTATTTCTTAAATCACACTTTAGTGTTGTCACAGAAAACATGCAGCATTAGCATGAACAAGAATGTTAGTTCATGAAAATATTTTATTATGAAAAATACTTCATATTGGAATACATCCACATATTCAGCGTAACAAAGTTTCCTTTGATAGTTGTACCATGGAATGAAACAACTTACATTCCGTGTTCTCTGGGAATTTTCTGTGAATGAGCTTATATTTCTCCAGAGCTTTCTGGTAGTTACCTGCAAAAAACCCAAACATCTCCTATCCACATATTCCAACATAAAAATGAATATCTGACACACTTTAGCATCAATTCATCTTTTTAGTTAATGATTTAGTAGTATAAGACCAAATTTGATGAGACCAAACTTAACATGCTTCAATTACTGATAGCAAAAATTAAGAGCATCTGAAAACAGTCCAAATTACTCTGTAAACAACAGGATTAATGAAGAGGAGCTTCCTGATTTTTGCACTTCTTTTTGACCTGCACCCTAGGACCCTGTTGTTCTACAACACATCTACTAGACAAGCTGTATCAAGTATAACAGGGCTTATCTGAGGCTGCAAATGTATGGATTGGTCAAATGGAAACACCTAACAGCCAAGCTCTGCCTGGCTGTCCCTCCTTCCATCACAATACAAATTGTGTGCCCCTCCTTTGCCCGGATCTGGTAGTAAAGTAATTATTCCTTAAGACTTTTGCCTTCAATTTTAGTTCAGCTTGATTATGGGAAGAACTTATTCACCCTGTGAATCTAGAATGTCATATCCATAAAATATTTGACAAAAAAAACCTTTGTTCAGATATCCCTATTTTTCTTTTCCTAGTGCAGGCAGAAATCAAAGTGACTAACTTAGTGATCAATGTGCTAACACAATAAGCAATTGCAAACGACTGAAAAGCAGCCAAACCCACTGTGTTTCTTTGCTGGGAAAACAGTTAATCTGTCTAGTTTTGAGTGGTGCTGACTGTTCTTATTTCACTGACTTGCCTAGGTCCTGTTCCTTTTCTCACCTTTGTATTAAGTAACTGAGCTGAGTGAGAAAACGCACTTATTTATTACGAAAGACTGCTCTGCAAAGTTCTAAAGAAACATAAAGATGAGTGACAAAAATGGAACAGCAAGAAGAGTATTGTTTACATGACCAATTAGCTTGAATGCATTTTAGATAGTGAAAAAACCCTGAAAAATTAGTGTCTTTCCATTTTGCTTATTGCTATATTATATTCCTAGTAAGGAAATACAGCATATTACGACTCTATATTGTTTGTGTAATGCAAACACTATTTTAATACTGAAAAATTATACCTGCTGTTGAAAAGGAAAGGGGAATTAAGCAGCTTGAAAAATCTAATTACTCACATTAGACCAGTTGGCAGTATAATTACATTTTAAAAACCTTCTATCGGATCACTTATGCTGTACTATTTTATTTATTTTATTTATTTAACAGCACAAGTTTCATGATGAGTTTTAAGTCAGTGCAGGCACACTTCCTGGACTTAAAAGAAACTACCTATTTTATTACGCATGCAGAGTAAATAACATGTAACTGAATCTTCAGACAAACTTTAGGACTGATATTCATGTAAGTCAAAAGAGATGAGAAGAAAAAAAACCCCAAAACATCAATCAAAACAAATCACATAATCACAGTATGGTTTGGGTTGGAAGGGACCTTCAAAGATCATCTTGTTCCAACCCCCCCTGCCATGGGCAGGGACACCTCCCACCAGACCAGGTAGCTCAAGGCTTTATCCAACCTGGCTTTGAACACTGACAGGGTTGGGACATCCACTACCTCCCTGGGCAACCTGTGCCAGTGCCTCACCATCCTCACAGTAAAGTATTTCTTCCTTATGCTTATCCTCTCATTCAGTTTAAAACTGATGCTCGTTGTCCTGGAACTGCAGACCCCAGTCTGTCTCCATCTTTCCTATAAGCTCCCAGTGAATTACAAAAAATGTTATGAACCTCCAACCAATTACAAAAAAGTTACAAGACTTACCACTTCTCCTGTAGCAACTGGCAACCATCAGCTGCCACTTCACTTGTGTCGGCCTGCGTATGAATAAAATAAAATTATGCACACTGCCAAACAATGAATAAGCGAAATAACCTGCATAGCACTGGTAAAGACCTACTATTAAACTATTAATAAATTTTTCACTTAGTATGTTGACTTCCTAGAAAGAATTTAGCTTGCTTAATTCACAGTTTACCCCTGCATCATGCATGTCTTTTCAGGCCTTGATGTCACTCATCTTTAGTCCTCTGTTATAATCTCTGTCCTGTTCATGATTCTGTGCCCGGACACAATTAGTAGACCTTACATGTGAACAACTAATCTTTGTCAGAGGTGTAGAATTATGCAATGAGGGAGAACAAAATGCTAAACTGTATTCTGAGGAGGCCCTACCACTAAGGTCCCATGCACACCCAAGGAATCCCTGCCAGGCAGCACACAATCCACTTAGAGCTTCAAACTGCATCATCACCTCAATGTCCTAGCTGCTACCTGTCCTGCTCTTTTTAGCACACAGTGGTGACAGATATGGTCAAAGAAAATATTTGAGATGTTTGAGCATGCATGTACAATAAAACTGTTGGAATCTTTCCTCCTTATCAAGATAATGTGAAAATTAGGAAATTTCCACGTCAACAGGTTAAGGATCCTCTCTAAGCCAAAGCACTTTCCACACGTGGCTTACAATTCAATGGTAGCACATCCAAAAGGCACTGTAAGCTAACATCTTCAGAAGAGTTTTGTACTCATTCTCTTCAGTTTTTCTCTCTAATCCACTTTAAACTCTAAATAATCTGTTTGCCTGGCGGTTGCCAAAGAAGCTCATGCAATACAGCTGCTGCACCTTTTTAGCTTCAGCTGAATGTGTCCCCTGCAAACTGAGGCAGCCAAGCAGACACCATAATTAAAGTTAAGTCTGCAGTTCAATATGAAAATTCTAGAGAGAATAAATTGTCAGCAGAAAGCATTAACTGCACAACTTCTTTTATTAATGATAGATTTGTGCATGCTGGAAAAAATAATTCAAGACTGTTTCCTGATTCACTAAGATGTAGTTAATATGATTAAAACACTGAATGCACTAAACAAACTAAAAAATGTTAAACTAAAAATGCTGTTCACAGCTAAAATAAAGCTATAATTTAAAAATGTAACTCATTTAAAATAAGTAGCAATTTATATTTACATTCACGTTTAGCAATTAGCATATACACTATTTTTAATACCAAGTAAACACCAAAACATTTATCCTCTGTTATCTACTACTATAAATCTCATCCCCCAGAGAAATAATTTCTCTGTACTACAGATAGATTACAATTATAGATAATCATGAAGAATTCTGTATGCCAATTATTCGTAAGCACTTTGCAATCCACATACTTCATGTTTCATGCATGGAGTGAGTGCAACATGAAGCATGAAATATTTAGATCTTTGCCAAAACAAGCTTATGAAATAATTCCTATTAGTTTCGGCTGTTTCTTTCCAAGTTTTCTGAGAAGGCCATGAATGCAGCATATGCAATCTCATGGTTTGACTACAATGTAATTTTTTAAGGTGGGCAATACTTACAGAGAAAAGAATACTGGCAAACCTCTGAACTCTGATTGCTGCAAAATGTCTTCTGTGTATTTTTATCTAATTTTCATCTCTATTTCTTTAGAACGATACCACAGTTTGAGTGAAGTCTGTTTTTCTGTTTTGTGTTGGGTTTAGTTTTAATTTTTAATCCTTATTTAAACTTTGGATTTTCTCTTCTGTAATTAACATCTACTCTAACTCAAGCATCTCCAAGCCAGAATTACTAGTTTTTACTGGACTTCTAGCAACCTATTTGCAGTATGGTTTTCCCTTGAATAATACTGTACACATTTTTGTCATTCAGATTCCCAGAACAAAAAGAATGTCAAATTTTAGATCATCACAAGACAAACAATAATAGAGTTTTGCTTAGTCTAATTTTTAGTAGATTTCCTAAAATACAAAATAGAGAAATTCACACTCTTGGGAGTGAATTTTAGCCACACGATTTTAGTTGGTCTATGAACACAAAATTCTCCATGAACGTATGAATGAATATTGGTTTCCACATAAATGGTCTTTTTATAATTCTGTTTGAACTCTGGATTACAGATTTAAATTTGACCAAATTTTATTTTTTAATAGATTGTATTCATCACTTTCTGGTAAGTTCCCTTACTGAACTAAAATAAAATATATGGCCTATATACTTTCTCAAGTGCATCATATTCAGCTAAAGGACAATTTCAGCAATCAAGTTGCTGAACTGAACTCAGTATATTCCAAATACCTCTATCTGAATCATTTTACTTTGTCAACTGATTTTCACTGACCACTGGGAACTGTGCACTGCACACTTTTGTTTATTTCTATACCTTAACTACAGTAGGTTTTTGATGGGAGTGGAAGTTATGTGAAACGCGGAAATGCAACAAGAATTTTTAAAATGTACATTTATGTAAACCAACAAATCACCACCACACAACAAAATAATACGAAGGAAATATTCATATAAAGCCATAGAAAAAGAGGTTCTGGTGGCTCTGGAGAGCTGTTCCCACTTGGTAGCTGTGCTTAATGGCAGATAACAGAGCAAAAGAGATTCTAATCCCTAACACTATCTCGGGCCCAATGGAGGATCTTGCTTAACACTGAAAATGCACAGTAAGAGCAAAACCACACTGTAAATGAATGGAAAGTTGAAAAAAATCAAATAATATCACAAATATTCTTAACTCTGCTATTTGCTTACAGTATTAAAGTTATCCAGCTGACTTATCTCTAGGTATACTTATGGATGTCTAATCACAAACTTGAGTAGGCATAAAATAATAACTACTTACTGGATAAGTGCTGCTCTTTCAAAGTACTCAATGGCTTTTTCACAAAACTGGGTGTCAACGTAATATGCTCCAAGCCATTCAATGACCTCAATGTTTGAAGGGAAATACCTGTAGGACTGACAAAATAGGAAAGGTGACCCCCCCAATTTTAGTGATAAACAACATCTTTATGTTACTTCTGGAATACCTTACTCAAGTGTTTAATTCTCCAGATGCCCAAAAGGTCTAATATAAATGAATGGAAGTAGTGTGCTATACTAAGTGATCCTGGGGAGAAAAAAATAAAAGCATGCCCAGTTTTCTAATTGCAGAATGCTTTTGAGAAGTTACCTGAGATGAATCTGTCACATTTTCCATCTAGCCTTATTTGAAATATTATTTTAAATAGCTTGCAACAGCTAAAACATTTACTTAAATCATGTCTACATATAAATTACCTAAAATGTTAAACAATGCTAACTAATACATGTACACATTCAAATCAGTCAGTTGGAAAACTCACCTAAAAGCATTCTTTTCTAGGCATGTGTACACAAATAACATTTTCAGCTTTTTAGAAACTCCCACTGAAACAGGCAGCAAAACTATCATCAAGCACAACTCAACTAGTAGTTCAGATTGCAACACAGCCTTTGGTCATCCTCACTTTGTACAGAAAAAAGAACACTCAGATTGCAGCCAAGCAACTTAGAATCACAGAATCATAGACTTTAGGGGTTGGAATGGACCATACAGGTCATCTAGTCCCAAACCTCTGTCATGGGCAGGGACACCTCCTCACTAGGTCAGGTTGCTCAAGGCTTCATCCAGCCTGGCTTTGAACACTGCCAGGGTTGGGTCATCCACTACTTCCCTGGGCAACCTGGGACAGTGTCTCACCACCCCCACAGTAAAAACTAAGGGTGGTGAGACATTGGAACTTCTTGTCTTATTCTTGTTTCTAAAACAGAAGAACCTTTACACACTATGCAGAGTAGTACAGCTGGTTTGAAATGAAAGAAGCAACTTTAGGCAACTGTATATACATAATGTATAGCTATACCACTAATAGATATATAAACTAACATACATAAACACACATTATATATGTATCTCCATATCCATTATACAGATACAGCTGCACACCTTTAAAATTATATTTATTATATCCACATTTTATTTTGTCCTAGACTATATTCTGAATGAAAATTGTTACAGGTCAATGTAAACAATGACCACAATTAAAAAAAAAAAAACCCAAACCAAAATCTACATCTGAGGTAAAAATCCACATGGAAACATAGGCTATATTTTCCTTAGGATCTGTCTATAAAAATTATATTGGGGAAGAGTTAACAGAATCTATCTTTCTTTTTCTTTTTGGATGACATTTAAAAAAGTTTAAATGAATCAATTGTTAATTTGATATAGGAATGTATAGCAAAATTATGACAAAGTGCATTGAAGAAGCAATATAAGAGCAAGTACCTCATAGTAATAATGAAAAGCTTGGGATTTATCACCTTCATGATCATATAATTTCCCTAGCTTTAAAAGTACTTGTGGATCACTTGGTACCACACTGATCAACTGCAGGAGCCACTCTATGGCTTGATGGGGATCTTCCATGATCTCATATCTGAGTTTTCTTCAGTCAAGGACTGATGCTGATGGTAGTTTGATTTACTCAGAATTCCTCTACTTTACCTAATGCAATCCATGTGCTGAACAGATACACCAGTCACTGTAGCGTGGAGATACACTGGCTTTCTTTCCCCCCCCCCCCATTGTTTTCATAATTTCATTTGTATCAAAAAGCTTTTTTGTTATGCTAAAGGAAGAAAAATATTCAGATATTTTGGTTACTCTTTGACCTTAAAACTACTTTGTGCTTAATTCTCCTCTCTCTCTGACACCAATTTTGACTTCCTCACCTATAAGAATGAAGTGTGAGAACAGGGCCATCTATTTGTAACCTTTACAATCTGCTTAGTTTTTCGTACTTTACAGCATTTTGTTCTAAAGCAAGTGATTAGATAAAACTGCTATTCCCAAGAACAGACTTCTTTTTAGCAGTGAGATTTTTTGCTGTATGTGTAAGAAGCACAGCCCAGACTGCATATGATTCTGGTCCAGAGAACAGAGGCAGCTTTAGCTGTAACTCAGCCTGCAGTGTGCTCTTCCTGCACAATGGCTCAGATCTCTAAAGCAGTGCGAGCTGAAGCTACTATCCAGCCTGATTTTTCCAGTTTCTGCTGCATCCTACTTGTCATGGAAAAAGCTTGTAAGTATTGGTGGAAAGCAGTTTAACATAGCAGTGGAGCAGAGTAGCTCTTCCCCAGATGGGAACTGGAGTTGCAGGGCCATTTAATCTGTTGTAAAGGCTACACAAGTAATAGAAATCAGAGCCTTTTGGTATTTTTGGAGGTTACTTATTTTACTGGCTGAAAGATGTGTTTATTACCAACATTAGTCTTACAATTGTAGCAGAGCAACTGAAATCTGTTCTGCCTCGGGGAGGATTTTGTTATGGTTTGCACACCCTCAGAAGCATTGTTAAAGAAATTCACAGTGCAGAATATCACTGGTGATGTGCAAAGCAAACCCCTCTCCTCAGCTTTTCAATCTGTTGAGCTTTTGCAGTGCTGAGAGACAATTATTTCCTTACACATACACTAACTAATCTGAAAACAGCTTTCAGAACAGAACTTCAAGTTCATTAATATATTTTCTTAATTTTAATTTTACTGAACTGTGCTTACATCTGCCACATTATTTCCATAATAAAATCAGCAGCACTTTAAATATTCCAGGATACAATTTAATACTGAGTGCAAATCTATTCCCTGCAATGTGAATGGCCTTAATGTATTTCTTCACTGGAAACGTCCAAGAAGGTTTTAACTTCTGGTCACATTTTCACAAACATCAGAGAGTTAATCATCCTAATTATAACAGACAGTACAGTAAATTTCTAAGTTGACCTGTCATGATTGAAACACATATTTCAGATTAAATGAGTTTACTAGAACCTCGATCCCTTGTAATCCAGAAAAAGATACATGCTTGCTATCTGATAAAGCACCTGGGTGCTATTTGGAAGGATTGCATGGAGTTTCAGAAAACAATCCAAAGCTTCATCTATCCTGTTTAACCTCTTGTATGCTAAACCTGAAAAATAAAGGTTACAGTATTAATGCAATGAAAAAAGGCTACTTCAGCATAGTAACTAACAGAATAACCACGAAAAGCAAAACAGGAACAAGGTACTCAGAGGCAACATAACAGCCTTGACATTAAAGGACTCATTTTGTGAGAGCCATGCTTATAATTCTTACAAGCCAGCACAACCTACCAAACTGATAAACACATGAACCTAATCAAAGACCAAGAATATACATAATCTCACTTTCTGAACAACATGAACAAGGGAAAGGAAGCGCTTTTAGAGGGGAATGACTGATGGTTCAGTAATGTTAAAACTGATCTATTTTTGGTAGATAGTATAAATTCCTTAATCTTCATAACAACTTGTTCATCTGCAATTACCAGTTGACGTTGTTAACACTGCTAATACCTTGCTATAGCATAAATTACTCAATAAGGTAATAGTAATTCATATGTTTCTATACGAGAAAACTTTGAAAACCAGATTCTCGGAAACACTAGTGTTACCTTTTGACAAAAGCACCTGTGACTTACCAAGATTATAAAGTGCTTCAGTGCACAAGGAATCATTCCTGAGAGCTTCCTTATAAAATTCTGTTGCTTTTTCATAGTCTCCATTTGCAAAAACAGTATTTCCTTTGTTAGTTAGAGCTGCTGGATTGTATCGATCAGAATTTACAGCTAAATCTGCATAGTTAATTGCTTGTGCCATTTCATTCCCCTACATGAATAAAACAAACATCACATTAGTTGTTTGATATTAGTCAATTTTTCTTGCAGCTGTTGCTTCTTGCAGGAATTCCAAAAGATTGAGGATGAAAAAACCACCACAAAACATTCACTGGTCCTAAAATATTTCTTATATATTTGCAGAAGGTAGATCATGTCTCTTTCAAGTTGTCAACTTAGCAGTTGAGACATGTCTTGCCAATCTGTTCCATTCAATCTGGAAGTTTGCTTTGCTGTAACAACATAGTATTCCTTAAAAAAATAATAAAAAAAAAAATCCCATACCCTACAAACTTCATACACAAAACACACCTGCCTAAACTACATACTTCACGTGTTCCTGAAGTTCAACCAGGGTCTCCAGGCCCCAAGTTTTAGATGCAGCCACTGAGCTTCTGCATAAATCTCACTGTATACAGACTTCTTTGGCCTGGGACTCAATCTCACTCTTCTTCCCAGCAACAGGATACAAAGGACCAGATCCAAACTTCAAGTACAGCCAAGAACTGGTGCTCCAGACTAACTCCTCTAACATGCAGTTTCTTCTTGGTTATAGAGATTACTTAGACAGACAAGAATTGCTACAAAAATACAAAAGCTGCTACATAAACTGCAGCTCTTAACTGGTTTTATTGAAGCCAACACTCACCAAATAATACAGGAATGAAAGGTTTGTTGCAGCCACACTCTTTAGTCTGCTGTCCTTTTTTTCAAACATTTTCAAAGTGTCCAGTGCCTACAAGTAATTTGGAAACAACTTATTTACCATGGAAGCAAACTTATGCCAAAATTCTTTCAGAAAGCATTGCTAAACTTCACATTAACAAACAGCTAAAATTATCAACTCATATCCTCACATACATGATAATTACTAGAGCTTGTAACACACACTTGTAAGCATGTACAGACATAAGCATATCTGTGTTACACTTAATATTAATTTTGGTCACAAAATTTCAATAGTATTGGCTATTTATGCCTTCTCCAACACTTAGATTAGATAAGGCTACCTTGAACTACAGTTATCTGATGCGTCTATACACACAAAACGCAATGTTAGATGAGTAACTTTTAATCTAATCTAATTAAAATTCTCATACCTATTTTCCCAGTGCTTTCAGTGAACACAAAAGGATTGACACTAAAATCCCTATTAAAAAGCTAAAAAAGAACACACTACATAAAAAAGTACACACATAAAAAAGTACACACAACAGTGTAGGACTGGATTTCAACTTGCAGTTGTTTTGTGTAATGAGACAACAACTGTCTAAGTTTAGGAACTACTCGAATATGAAGTTTTCAAATTAAAACTAAATTTCATAAACTCCAAAATAAAGATGTTTATAGACAAAATGTAAACACATTTATAGCTAACAAACTATGAAAGAAACTTTGAAATAAAAGGCAGCTTTTTCTTTTCATTGACTATGTGATAACATTTGTAACTGCAGACTAAATTATTAAGAAAGTCTGTCTTCTTTATGCTAAATATTTACAGTAACTACACAGCTGTTAGAGTATCACAGTGAGCCCAGTTGCACCATCTATTACAACACAGATGTGGCAACCTCAATTTAGCCATCAACATTAGCAATTCGAAAGTTTCCTTCTCCCTTTACACGAAGCCTGTTGGCTGCTATTGACATAAAGTGAACGCGTGATACTGTATGACAAATGCCAAAACAAACATGAAGGAAACAAGGTTTAATTGACTGTCATACATACTGGTTTTATGGTTACTCTACACAAAAAGCATCACTGTACTAATGATGTGTAAAATGACAAAGTATATACAGCTAAATGTAGTTCCTTGATTTAGTCAACTACATTCCACCCAAGAACTATGAACTACTAATGATCCTAATGATCTCCCAATAATAGAAAACTGTCTAAAGAAATACACTAATTTCAATCAAGAACAGCATTTCAAACATTAGGCTCTAGATTTTGTGGTCTCAGATACGTAAGACTTGTAACTATGAAAATACTAAACTTTTATATAAATTCGTGACTTTCTCCAAAAAGCAAATGGTCTCAAATATTTACAGATATAACACTATTATAACCTGAGGGACTGTACACTTAAGCACAGACTTGCTTCTTCATGGAATTAATTTTTAGTAAATTTAGCCTTCTATAGCTCAGTTACTTTCTGAAAACCCATTTCCCATTGTAGGTAATTTATTTACCTTTGCTTTTACTGCTAAATGGCATCTTTGATGATGAAGATTACACGAAGTAATCTCTTTTTCATGTATAATGTTCACATGACTGAACTCAATTAATTTACTGGTCATTTACTGATAAGTTATGCTGCAGGTCTCTTGAACCATATCAGCAATTATGAGCCCTAGGATGAAAATCCACAGCAATATTCCTTTTGTCCTTGCAAAGTGGCACTGTATTATCAGCTGCATTTAAATATTTCCAAATAACTTCTTAATCCCAACAATTCAACAATTAAAGCACAGCCTGTCCAAACTATGTTTGTGACATGCATGCAATGCACCTACATTATTTGCTTACAGATATCAAACTTTAAAGCAGCTTGCCTGACCCAACCAGTTTTCCTTTGAAATAAAAAACCCATTCCAATTATTTAATACACAAAACTAGACATATTATGGTAATTACCCCCTTGAATTTTATTTTTTACTTGCAAGGACTGTTCTAAAATAACATTAATTATCACAAACCCACAGTTAAGCCTGTTACAGTAATGGGAGAAATCTATTTTAGTTCTTTTGCTTTTTAAACACAATAAAACTTTACGCCTTGAAACTGACTATTTCAGAAAGTTTCCATTCTTGTTCTTCAGCCAAAGGTGTGATGAGCAGGTGGTGAGTTAGTAAGTATATGAACAACAGACAGACAGGATGAATGCAGCTGCAGTTTTACTAGAACAAAACAAAAAGACTCTCTGCAATCACCATTCTGCAGTCCCACTCTACTATTAAGTGGTTCCAGTGCAGGTTAAAGGTCTTCTATCACATAATCCAAGTAAAAAAATGTCCTTCTTCCCTTACTCCTAACTTCCAACACCCTTCCCTCTCTCTCCATTGAAAGTACTCCAGAAAAACATCACCAACAATCACTGTATCTCAATTTTACCTTTGAGAATTGATTTTAGGTATTTGTAACCTATACTGGATGGATACTAACTGGAAATCACAAAAAATTACCATCAAAATAGTTAATTCTTGATATCATATGACTGCTTACCTACCTGTAACACTCACCTTTCAAAAGCTGTCATCAATAAGGGTACTAGATTTGCCAAAAATTTTCCAAACTCTCAAACTGCTTCCTGATCTCAGAAAACCTACGAGTATGCTGACTTTGGCTGGGACAGTTAATTTTTTCCATAGTAGCTTGTAAGGAGCTGTGTTTTGGGTTTGTGCTGGAAAGTGTTGGTAACATGTAGATGCTTTAGTTACTGCTGAGCAGTGCTCACACTGAGTCAGGGCCTTTGCTGCTGCTCACACTACTACCCCAGCAGTGAACGGGCTGAGGGAGCACAAGGAGCTGGGAGGGGACACAGCAAGGACAGCTGACCCCAACTGATCAAAGCGATGCTCCATACCATATGTCATCATGCTCAGCATATAAAGCTGAGAGAAGGAGGAAGAAGGGGGGGATGTTTGGAGTGATAGTGATTCTCCCCAAGTCACTGCTAGGCATGGAGGAGCCCTGCTGTCCTGGGGATGGCTGAACACCTGCCTGCCCATGGAAAGTGGCAAATGAATTCCTTGTTTTGCTTTGCTTGTGCGTGCAGCTTTTTGCTTTACCTAGTAAACTGTCTTCATTTCAACCCATGAGTTTTCTCACTTCTACTCTTCTGATTCTCTCTCCCATCCCAGCAGAGTGGGGAGTGAGCAACTGACTGTGTGGTGCTTAGTTGCCCGCTGCAGTTAAACCACAACAGTCAGACATGCGGGATAATAAAGGACAACTCTCTTGCTGTCAGGGAAGGAGACGAGGACAGGACAGACAGGAGCAAGAGCTGCTCAGGAAACCAGAAAAGCTTAAATATGAGAAGTAAAAGTGGGCTAACATTAAGCACATGACTCTCTGTACCTCCCTCCAAGCTGTGGGAAGGTGAAGGACCTTAGACGATGACAGAAGTACTCACAGCTTCAGCTGTAATTTTTCTGCACATGATCTTGTGTGTGTGTGACATTTTTTTTGTTTGGATTCTGTGATAGAAGACCTTTAACCTGCACTGGAACCACTTAATAGTAGAGTGGGACTGCAGAATGGTGATTGCAGAGAGTCTTTTTGTTTTGTTCTAGTAAAACTGCAGCTGCATTCATCCTGTCTGTCTGTTGTTCACATACTTACTAACTCATCACCTGCTCAACACACCTTTGGCTGAAGAACATGCCACTTCTTGGCACCCTTGCAAATCTGAGGGTTACTATACTACTCCTTATTTATTAAACATTCCTATCACTGAATGTACTGACCAGTGTATGCTAAAAAAAATTGAGCAAATCCTGTCAGATGTCTGAGTTGCATTTTGTGCAGATGAAGCTGTTTTCCAACTGCTCACATTTCAAACCAAGGCTTTTCCACAGGCAAATAAAAGATTACATAACAATTGTAAGGAAAACCTGGTATTATAAATTGGCCACAGCCTATAAAAATTCAATTAAGAGGAAAATAAAAGCATTTTTCTTGAAATAAAACATTGTAAGAAAGCTGCAGATTCACCAAATACCAAAAACTTAAATGTGGCAAACTCTGGTTTGCCTACACTGGCAATTTAGAAGCATAGAAGAGGGAAGATATGGTTAACAGGCTGCTGTACTTCTTAGCAAGATACTGGTGGTGATTTTTAACATGAAGGCAGTTCAACATAAAATTCATAGGCAGAAATTTGTCCAACTAGTGATTGGACAGCCAGCTGGAGAAAGATCTTACCTACATAAATATACATAAATAAATTCAATATAGCCAAAAGTTACTTCATGTGTGTATTTTAAAATACAACAATTAAAATGGAACATGCAATAATGTGAATGATAAAAAAATACAAAGTCACAATGATTTTGGCAGATCCATCTTCTGAACTTTTGCCAGTTATTGAATTTTGAGCAATGAGCTACACTTTTCCTTGGAAGTACTAATGCTGTATCTTTTCTATGACCTTCCTCATTTGCAAATATACACTGTGGCTGAAACTGCTATAATATCTTTACAGCACTGGTGATTCACCTTAGCCCTCTAGGCTGTCCAAGGGGCAATCATTTTTATAAAATCACTTCTATAAGAGATGCAGAACTGTCCAAGCTCCTGAGCAGATGCTTAATGTAATTCCAGTCTGTATTTTGATGGAACAATAGGAGGACCAACAAAAGTATATACAGTACGTCATATTTTAGGAAATGCTGTAGCATAGTGAACAATACAGAACAGTGAGAATACCATAGCATAAAAACATTAATGATAGATATATAAAGTGCATCTGCATATAGTCTGGTACTATAGTCAGCCCGAATGAGAGAAAGATTCAGTGTATATTAATGAAAACATCTCCACAGTGATTGGCAACAGACTTTCTATGCTCTATTGACTGCACTGACTACAGTTCCATTAACTGTAATGACAGCTTGGACTCAGTGAAGATATCTAAATTTAGGTGCCTTGATTTTAAAATGCACTGCATTCACTCTAACTTCTGTGGCAGAAATCTCATTTAGATAAAACTCATCCCTTGCCAATGTTATCTTACCATTCAGCATCAATATAATTATTATGTTTACATAATTCATTCTTTCTCTTGCTGAAAAATACACCTGTAGCTAAGAAAGGTAGCTTTGCAAATACAGTATTAAAGAGTACTAATGCAAAAAGTTACTATACCTGGTTAAAATTCTGCTGCCTCAAGTAAGTAGTGGCTTTATTTATTTCCAGGTCATTGGCTAACTCTACATAGTGTGAAGCTTTCACCACATCAACACACCTGCAACAGAAAGCAAGCCACAAAGACAAACAAAATGCATCTGTGCAAATGCCTCTAAGTCACATATTTTTTCAGCTAATTTGCTTTTCAAACTGAGTTGTTCTTAGCTAGTCTTTCTTTACAGTGGCAAAGAGCATTCTGATTAAAAATATTTGTAAAACACACTTCATTCCCATAACCTACCTTAATAACAGTATCTCTGCTGTCTCTTTTGTAAGTCAGCGGCCTAAATATACTTTATTTTCCATCACTGAGCAATACTTCACGTTAAAACCTAAGTAAGATAATTTTTCAAACCATTTTCTTTGGATACGTTCTATAAGTTAGTTTTTCAAACCTTGTCTCCTGTTGCATGTTACCAAATCCACAAAGTCAGAGACTGCAGATTGTGTCCCTGAGCTACATAATAATAAGGTCATAATAATAAATCTCCCTCTGGTCATTCTCCAGTTATTTGTGACTTAGAGTCATCTGCAACATGAGTTGCAACAACTCAAGAGCAGCAGACAGCTCAGATGTTCATTCACACACATCTTCCAGGATCTGATCTGGTGTACTTTAAGAATGCCTAACCATTTGAAGCAAAATTGTATATTGTATTGTATGCATATACTGTTCTCCCAAACAGTCTGAAATTAGGCACACTAAATTACCAATTTGTGGGATGCTTCTTTAATCCCTGTCACTATTTTTCTAACTGCTGGAAAGCCTTTTTCTCTTCATCTAATAGTTGGCTACATTGTCAATAGAAGTTTAATTTAGCAAACTGCCTACTGCTATAATTGGGTTGGTACATGGACAGTCTCAAGACAAATGCCTTTTATGTTGGAGGGAAAAATTATATTAAAACCTCAGTAATTTCATCTTTTATTACAGATGTGTTTGCAAAGGCAAAAAGCAATTTTCAACTGTTACTGCTAGTATCTTTTAACCATAAAATACAATGAGATCTAACCATCCAACTGTTCCTTATGGAATATGACAGAATAGCCTTAAGATTATGTCACATTTTAAGTACAAAGTTATGAAATCCAAAGGCTATTTGTCATCATTAAACAAATCTTGTTAAAAGCACATTTAATACTCAGAGATCTCATAACAAAGTTTGTAATTTGAAAAACCAGGCTCAAACTACTGGTTAAACTTCTTGATTGGGCTTGAATATCTCAGCCAAAAATAACAGAGTAAATCTGCCCTGATACACACAAAACAATCCCACACATCTCACCAGAAGCTGTTTAATTAGCCAGAATGGATATGAGAGTGTGTTACTGCATGACAAGTATTCTGTGGAGAGCACTAAGGCAACTGAGTATCTGACAACCTTTTCCAGCTTTCCTGAGCAAAAAAAACCAAGATACAGAACAAACAAATCTGATTTACTCAAGCTAACAAATGATAAAGTAGCAAGCTAATTTTCACAAGACACACTGGTTCAGTTCTGATAATTCAGAATGGCAGAAGTAGGGAAATCACAGGACTATAATGATTATTAAACCATCAAACACCACCTTGTGGACTCTAGTAGACAAAACATGCCTGTGTGAGATTATTTCATGGTATTACAAACAGCTTTCTTAGTAAATTATAATTACAGGACCTGCAAAATTTGAAAATATTCCTAACAGGCAAAAAAACTATTTAAAGGACAGTCCTCTTTTCCCATCACATGTACTTCACTACCCAAATACTGAACACATGCTAGTAATGTTGTGCTTGCAATACACAACATCCATTTGCATACATGTTATGTTCCAAACATACAAATAATATCAAAGTAAGCCCTTATAATAGAAAACTAAAAATGAGTTGAAAATCCATCTTGAAATGGTTATACAAATAATTTTTATACTGTCTCACAGGAAGTGTGTCCATTTTATTTTGGTTTAATGAGTATTCTGCTGTAGAAAATACCACAGAAAGCAAAAGCTAAGCTGTAAATTGAAAAATAAAGACCAAAAGGTGAACTACAACAGCAGCCTATCACTGCATACACTTGTATGAAAGTTTAATAAACAGTACATTAGGTTGACATTTATAAACGTTAAGGGGTTTAATTGTATGTAAATAAACCATTCTAACAAAAATTTGGATTCTGGTGTTGCATATAATGACTGTATGGAGTAATGAAAACTTCTTAGGCATCCCAAGTCTTCATTATGCTATCTTCAGTCAAGACTGGCCATCATTGCCTTCTGTACAGCATTTGTCTACTGAGACTTTTCAAAGCTTTTGAATTGTCAAGTTGAATTTTCAAATTCAACTGAACTTTTAAGAAGCTCTTTTTGCATGAATATAGAACAGTGCAAAACATATAATTATGAGCTGAGATTCAAGGAAAAAGTAAATTAACAGACTCTAATCCTTTGTTTTGCTCTTCTTCACAGCATTATGGAGGCAAACTGAAAATAGCCTGGATGTTATGCTGGAGATGCACAGCAACCTGTGTTTCCCAGTCTGTTTTTGTTTCTGAATCTGGTTTCATAACCAGCACAAGAGACTGACACATAGGTTAAACAAAAAGAAGCCCCACTTGACTCTTACCAGTCATAGCCTACTGCAAAAGATGTCTCAATTACTGGTGCAATGAGCTTAGCAGCTGTCATGATATATTCCTCTGCCACGGATTTCCTGAGGAAAAATAGAACAGAACAAAAACACAGCACACAAATACGAATTAAATTCTTCACTGTGAGGGTGATAAGGCACTGGAACAGGCTGTCCAGAGCAGCTGTGGATGCCCCATCCCTGGAGGTGTTCCAGGCCAGGTTGGATAGGGCTTCGAGAAACCTGGTCTAGTGGAAGGTGTCCCTGTACATGGCATTGGGGCTGGAACTAGATCATTTTTAGGAACCCTCCAACCCAAACCATTCCATGATTCTATATGTTTCCATGTCATCATTTCAAAAACATGCATAGAAAAAAAATAACAAAATCCTGTTTTTGCTTTTTCCTGCACTCAGGACAACCTTAGAAGACAATCAAACCAGTCCCCTGCTACCACTACTGCCCTGTATCTTGATTAAGTTCTCATTTTTTTTTCTGATTTCCCTTCACTGTACACTGTAGCTGTATATTTTAAAAACCCCACTGCTTCAGGTTTTAAGCAGTGTAACCTATAGCATTTGGGGCAGATAGTCTACTTTAGTGAGTACACTAAACTGAGTGATCCAATTGGTTCTTCTGAGCATGTTCTTTCCTAGGAATTATGAGGGCAGTTTTATAACAAGAGCTGTAGACAGGGAGAATGATAATCTTTTCAGGAGCTAAAATCCAAGGCAGCACAGTCAGGAAAGAATAGACTCCACTATTACCTCTCACGTTCTATTTGACTTAAACTGTCATTTTTAATGGCTTCAATCAGTAGCTTCGTATGCAGATCATCCTGGAGAGGGACAAGAAACTGCCAATTATGCCAGTATAGAAACATCTTAATTATGCTATAGACAATATGACTGCAAACATAAACTGATGCAAAATACATAGTCTATAATGTCACCTATTTACTTTACGCATCTGAGAAAGTTAGTTTTAGTTTAAAGTAGTTTTCTAACCGCAAAATCTGAAATTTGGCATCACAACTACTCGAGCGCTGGTTTTCTGCTCCTGTATGTGGTCACAGCTCACATGAGGGTTGTTAATAGATGAAGTTAATGTAGTTAATGTCACGTGTATCAGACCAGGAAGGCTGCAAATCACAGTGAGAGTACTCTCATGGTTAAGAACAAGCATTTGCTGAACAACTGCAGTGGTATTCAGCAGACAGGGACTTGTGCTACCCCCTCACTACAAGAACTCACATGATCATCTCACGATTTCTATCACACATCTCTTTTAGTTCAAAAAGATATAATGCAGGTATGCTAGGCAGCCACCCCTTCCTCATTTATCTGGGACATTTACAAAAAATGAAAACCAGAAGGAAACTGAACTTTTCTCTGATCTTTTTGTAACAAAATAGAGAACTTGGAATGTCTGTTAAAACTACAGGTTGCCTATCCCTAGAAGCAACTTTTACAGTCTAAAGATTTTCTTCCAATGAATGATCTTACATAGTCTTCAGTTAATTCAAGGCTTTAATGATCCTTACTGCTACATAACCTGCTAATATGAGACATTATATAAAATAGATTAAAATAATATACATAATTATAAATAAATTGATGTGCTTCATATATTAGTTTTATTTGCTTATGCTAGGACAACAGGAAGCAACAACTGCTCTTAAGCTGCAAACAGTTTGACAATTAATTATATATTTCATCTTTAGCACTGAAAATGGAAGCTTTGCATCACTGAAAAAATGACTGCTAGAATTATAAAGGGCTTGCCTTGATCTTTCTCTAAAGGACCTTTCTAAGGTCCTAAACAAATTAATTGCTTTTTTCTCTCTTTAGCATCATGAGCTGCTGGTTTCACAGTGCATAGGAAGTCCAGTTTCCAACAAAGCCTAATAAACTAAAATCAGCATCTATTAAACGTCACTAAAAGTTTCTTCTGTAAAACAGCACTGCAGTATTGTAAGTTTTATCAGCACTCAATTGAGAAAATTTGCATTAACTCACTCATTGCTTTGCTCCCTTTATTTTAGCTTATAAACATTTTATTAAGATTTTATATAAATGAAGATGGCAAAGCAGTAAGTGAACTATGTAAGCAAGCCCAGAAGAATTTCAACAAAATTCTTACGAAGACAATCATGTGCTGTGGATTTTAAGTATATCATATCTTTTGAGGAAAAAAGGATTTGAATGTTCTCAATGTTATTTTACATTCCTGAGCAGTTCTGCCACACTAAATTCATGCTGGTAAAAAAAAATATGTTATTTTAGATAGAAAAATACACATCAATTTTCATATTCAGTACAGTCCAAGCATTCAATGTTTCTCTCTCTTTCTCCCAGTTTACTATATCAAGACAGTTTTTGTTCAAACTTACATTTAGTGAAACGTATTTGTCATCATAATCCACTTCCAAGGGAACTGCGAGAAGTTTTTGGAAGGCTTTCTTCATTTGCTCACCATTTCCAATAGCAAAATAACACAGGATCAAATTGAAACCTGCCTTCAGGTTTGGGGATATGCTCATTATCTCTTCAAAGGAAGAAATGGCATCAACATATTGGCCAGTTTTAATAAATGCAACTCCAATATTTTCCATTATTTTCATCCTAAGTAAAGAGATCAGGGAATTTTTAACTGCAAAGCATACTATAGCCAAAATTTGTATTTCAGAATCATGCCTCCTATAGAAACTCACCTCATCTCTTTGTGGGCACTAGTAATCTGGTCCAGAGCCATACGGTAGAATTTGACAGCTTTGGAATAGTTCCGTTGTTTTAAATATATATTGCCCATATTCACCTTCAGTATCCCTATCAAAAGAAGTCAATGACTTACAACATTTTTACATTGTTTCAAAGTGACAAAGGAGAACAACTTCTTAACAAATTTGTCTTCATTATAAAATATCAGTGTCCCTTTAGAGCAGAATTACACAGAAGTGCCTTCCATGAATTTCACCCAGGAAAATATAAAGTAGTAATAAAACTTAGAAAAGACGTATCATGCAAGATGTGTTCTGATTTTGAATGTAAATTGAGGGATGAAGTAGAGATTATTTACAGTGCTCCCCAGGAAGACAGATGCACACAGGCATCCCTGAGAGCAGTGTACTGTATGAGTCTCAAAGATGTGCAAAATACTAAAAGAAACATTCAGGGGGGAAAAGTTAAGTCAAAAGAGAAAAAATTAGTATCAGAGCAGACAACGGTGCATGCAGCATGAGAAAATTATATACTTGGCGTAACATTTGGATTAGCTATGGAAAGAAAAGTCTTCATGAGGCAGTATAACAATGTGGTTTGGCTCTCTGAGACTCTGAGTATCTGCTGTCCACTCAGACTGGCATATGTGAGGGCTGAGATCTCTGTGAGTCAACACCACACACATGCAGTCCTCTTTTTGAATGCCTGACTATCAATTTTGATCCACTTTGGAACATAACCTACCTCCATTGCTGAACATCTTATTCTTCACTATGAGTTGGTAAGTAGTCAGTGCTTCAGCATACATTTCATTAGCAGCATACTGACTGGCCAGATTAAGAAGAACCTAGAGAAAAATGGGATTATAGGTACAAGAAAATACAATGTCCTCCTAACAGTAATAAGTTTGAATTCATAGCAGATAATTTAAAATTAATTTTACCCTGGAAATACTGTTTTTACCAGTTTTAAGCTTCCCGTTTTTCATGTTTCTTTGTTCCTGCACATTGGCAGAGAGGAAACAAGTTTAAAAGCTACTTATCCTAGGTAATTATTCTATTTTTCTACGTAAACAACTACCATTCTAAGTCATGCTAAGTAGGTCTCAGACCTAAGTAAACACAATGCTAAAATGCAAGGTTATTAAAAAATATTCATACAAGATAATTCTCAGAAACTGTGTGTTATTTATGACTCCCAGCATGTGGAAAATGTTCCTACTACCTATGGTCACTCAGTTTGCAAAGAGACAATTTTTCCAAACTGCTGTTTCAAAACAGAAGTTCTGTTGGTGTCAGGTAAAATACCTCCACGTTTTTCCTCAGATTTACTCTCATCTTCACAGTAAAATAAATTTCTAGGTCTGCCTAAGTCAATATATTAACTGTTAATAATTGTCTCTACAGCACTACCTAGGGTATAACTTTAAATACCCCTCAAGAATTTTTATACATGTTGTCTACTATTCATTTGAAAACCAGAATGTTTTTCAAATCTAGATACCTGCTTTAAGATTCAGCAATATTACTATATCCTACTTAATGTAATACATTCTCTGTTACTTTATGGTTCAATTTAAAGGCAGAGCCTGATCTTTTCTGTTTTCTTCTCTTGGCATGCCACCTTTTCTAGACTATTTCTGAAGTACAAGGTTTACATCTGTTATATTTTGACATGCAAGTTCTGCATGTGAGTAGACAGCTGGAATACATACTTGTGGGCACCTTTTGCCACTTAGCACTGACTATGTGGTTTCTCTGGTACTTGAGATTGCATGGGAATAGACTTGATGATACAAATGGATCTCTCATACACTGCTAGACGCATTACAACACACACACTTCAGGAACACTGAAATATCAGTGTTGAAGAGGTTTTTTAGCACTTACTGAGTACTTGAGGTCCAAGTTGATATTTGCTAGAGGAGTAATTTGTTCACGTTGTCTCAACAGTTCTCTTTCCTGTCTTCCAGCCTCTTTTGCTTTTTCCAAAGCCTTAAACAAAATACTAGAATTTAACAATGCCTTGAACCCTACTGACCCAAGATGACAAAAACATATTCAAAACAAGCATGAAGTAAATAAACTCATGGCTGTTTTCTTTAGATGCACAGACTGCACCCAATGCCTGAAAAGTAGCACTATAACCCACAAAAAGGTGCTAATTAGCAATAAGCAGACATACAGCTGTCTAAGTCTGCTTATCTGTACAATTTTAGAGCACTATAGCCACACACATTTAGAGGCCATAATCACTAGATTATGGTGACCCTGTAAGATTATTCTGTTTGTATTAATCATAGAAGGTGCACAGAAATGTTAAAATAAATAAATAAATGAGAGAGTGATTCGGTTTGGCATGTTTCCTTAGTTGCAGTATCCCAGTGCACGAAAATGTTGGAATGAAGAAAGTGAAAGGAGGAAGCAAACATGCACATTACACAAATGTATGCTGTACACACACCTTGACTAATTCTGGATGGTGGCAAATTGCTTCTCTTTATCTGTCCACAGTGGTATGTCATGTGTATGTATCCAACTGTAATGTTCTGCAGATTGGTATCAAAACCCTTTGAACAAGTAATGTCATGGATCTAACAAGTGCCACTAGCAGTCCTATATGCCTCTGCAAGGCCACAATGATTATGAAAGTAATGGTTATCACTCCAGGTAGCTATTTAGCAGCTGGAGGTGATGGAAGTACTTCAAGACAGAGTTTGTTCTTCATCCTTAAGATAGAACGTAAATCCAACTTGGCTGTTTTATAGACGAGTTGGTGACTTTCATGACTTTTTTGCAGGAAAATATATATTTTGCTGGACTTGTCAGAAACCTCACAAACATCCTAGAGCACCCTTGGAATGGTCTGGTATAAGCTACATAAGAAACAAACCTTTAACATCAAGAAACAAAGAACACTCTTGATTCATCTCCCAGTGAAGGTGAAGTTCAGACATTATAACAGAAATAAATTAGGAGAGGTCTGTAAGGATATTTGTCCTAAATGAACATTTTTTTTAAAAAAAAGGATAGAGTTCTTTCATACTCTCTGATCAGAAGCTATCAGCAGCAGAAAAAAATATTGCTTATTACAAAAGTGAAACATAAAGGGATCTTTGTCAGGTTGAAGGGTGGCTCATTCCAGCCTAAACACCAAGCTCGTGTCCCTCTTTGGGGGGCTTGCAGTATTAGAAACCTTGTGTACTCCTGAAGAAAGTAAACTCCCTATGCTGTGAACTGCTAGGAGAAGATACGCTAAGTGAAATCCTTCTCTCCAAAGAAGCTATCAGGCTCTTAGCTCAAGTGATAACCCAAAATTCATTGGAATGGAGAATGACTGATGCAGACCAGTATTCCAGACAGTCATCCTAGTAGGCATGTCCTCACACAGTACACTATCATCTTGACATCAGAACTGTCGAGGCTGACTTATCACAACCAAAATGATCAACGTTCAGTCTTGTCTTAATTTGATTAAGATTACTGGAGTTGCTGGACTAACTGAAGAAAGGCATATACCAGTCCTTTCCATTAGAGAAACAAGAATGCATTCAGAGATCTGGGACAACTTTTTTTCTCAAAAGCAATAGATCCAATGCTTCTTTGTAGCAGGCAAAAAGATATGGAATGTCACTAATCCTGAAACAGTCCTCAAAACAATTAGAATCTTCCAGTCACAGCCTAATAGACTAAATGTCCTATTCTGTATTTGAAAGTATTCACTCTCTACAAGACAAAATCATTGACAAGAAAAGTATGTTCTTGCTCTACTAGTTCCAAAGGTAAAGTGGTGTCTTAAAGAAAGAAGAAAACCTCAAATCTGGTATGCTTCTTAATGAAAAACTGGTTATTTTTCGAAAAACAAAGAGGAGATCCTGCTACTGTAACATGAATATCTCATGTTCAGGAGGCCTGAAACATGCAAATTAAGAATTACTACTTAAGGAATCTGACAAATGCTGGTAAAATTGTAAGGATAACATATGTAGCCTGATAAGAAGCATTACATAGGCACACATTATCACCTTGCATAAAACAGGTAAGGAGGCCTTCAATGTGTGTGGAGAGCACTGAAGGTCTTTCAACATAAAAAACCTCTCACTGTCACTGGGCCCAGTGCAGCTCCTGAGGGCTGAATGAATTCTAGATCTCAATGCAAAGACAAAGACATCTGGATGAAGATGATCTACCAAGAAATGGACTGCAAACTTCTCAACAGATCCAGTAAATTACAACAGCTAAAGTAAGATTAAATGATGCTGTACCCACCATGTTTCATAAGACCTAAGGAGATACTTGAAATTGTCTGAAATAGAAAAATATTCCTTTGTGTCAGACATTTATTAAAACTGCTACCTTGTCCAAACAGCTTGAGGTCTCTAATTACATCTATACTAGATGTAAATCAAGTGGTCTAGAGCCTGTTTCTTAGCCACTACTAATTGGCACAACATTGTTCCAGTATAACAGACCAAAAACATTCAAACTGTCCACTGAAAATAGTTCCTTACCCATGGTAACCTTCAACCATATCTAGGAACTGTTTAGGAAAATGCTAGCTAGCCTGGGCAAAAACCATGCCAGTACAACTAATTGATCAGATCCATTTGAAGAGGTCCATGGAGAAGAATCATAAAAAAGTTAAAATTAAGATGATTTTAGTGATTTTAAGCTTCTAACACAAGTCAGTTTGAAACGTATCTATACAAATTGTTCTTCGCATAACAGCAGAAGTGAAGTGAAATCCAAACAAATTACCAATTTCAAGTCTCCAGAGCTGCTGGCCACACAGCTTTCTTCAACCAGTTCATTCACTTTTTTTTCCAGCTGCCGAATCTTCTCTTCTGAACTACAATAACAATAAAACCATTAGCACTAGTAATGCAACTACATACACTAAGCTTTTACACATTATAGTATCAATGAAACAGCACAGTGATGTACCACATGTCACAACTAACTTTCCCATCAAAGAAAATATAATGTGAAACTATGCCCAGAGAAGATCCTCTAAAGACAATTGCATTCACACTTAATTTGAGGAGACCTAAGAAAACATAAATCCTCTTACAAGAAAAACACAGCCAAGCAAATTTCATGGACCCAATTTGTTCAGAAGAAGTAACAAGAACAAACAGATGAGCTGGCAAACCTTTCAAATCAAATGCCTTGTGAAATGAAATATATTAAAAGCAATTAATTGAACCTTTATTTGCAGAAACGACTTTAAAATATTGCTTGCAAATACAGATTGTAACAAATAGTTATTATTCATCTAGATTTCTTCCTCTGTTAAACAACCAAATATTTCAGTAGGATTCCCTAATCCTATATAGCTACATTTGGGGAACAACTTTTGTACTGAGAAGCGCAGTGACTTTTTTTGAGTGATCCCTGCAACATTCACATCTGCCCGCAAGTTTTACCTCGAGTGCTAAAGTCAGAGTGAACAGGGAGAAACAGCGGGCAAACTACCTCAAGCTCTTCCCAGAGAGCTGCAAGAATCATGGTGTTCCTTGACTGTCACACACACTTCCATGATCCTCCACAATTCCACAGAAGTATCACCGCATTTGTGTGGCAACAACTACATCCAGGCTGCTGAGCTAGATTTCTAAAAAACCAGAAATCACTGAAAACAGATGCTCCTGAAAGTCAGTGCAACTGCTCTGGCAAGTCAGCTAACCACAAGCATAAATGTTTGTGGTATTATTTCACAGGTTAAGAGTTTGGCCCCTCAAGGTTTCGTTTTTAAAGTCTATGCATGGTTGGCTTTCTGTTGCTGTTAATACTTCGAAATAATTTGATGCAAAACTGAACAAACCTGTCTGAATTTTTCTTTTCCAGAGGTGAAGCAGGACCTCTTGCTTGGCCAAGAGGATCAAATGAAGAACCTGCAAAATTAACAGAGTACTGAAAATTGTAAAATAACATCTCCCTCCAGCAGCAGGTGATTTCTACAAACCATACCTCTTATAGCTGCTTTAGTGTAACCTGCAGCATGCACTGCTGTCATTGGTCGAGAAACCCCATCCTCAAATAAAGAAGAAGATACATTAAAATAATCTTAGTAAAAAATTACATTGTGGACAATACAGGCATAATTATATGCTTTATAATTTATATATCATTGTAATCACAAAACCTTTAAATGCAAAAATCTGTTGTTACCACTTCATTAAACTGAGTATTTTTTGAAACATTTGCATTCCTGAAATATTACATATCATAACTGTCTACAAAGTAGAGGAGGAAAATTATTGGGAAACTAATGAACACAAAGGAACACTTACTACTTTGTGTACATTTTATATGTATTCAGAATACTCAATTTCAAACATCTTTTATTTTTTAGGAAATTCTTAAGAGTTATTGGTCTTGAGGGCTGTTATGTGCCCTAGCTTACTGTCACACTGTTTCAGAACTCAGATGCTGTTTTACTTTTTATTGAGAATAAGTGAATTCTATGGGATTACGGATCAGAATGTTTTCCTCAGTCTAAACGAAGAAATGAACAAACAGACTAATTTTTGTATTTGTAACCTATTACCAGGCAATGCCTTCCAACACAACGTCCGACCCCACTCCATTCCAGTTTACTAACTGCTCCTGTCAGGGCACTGAGTACACTAATAAACCTTAATGGCCCTGACCAGGCTCCTGAGGGGCCTCCAGCTACACACCCTACCCATGGGTCCAGCTCTATCAAAGCTCAGCCCTGGTTCTGCAGCCCCTGCCTCAGCTTTGTTGGAAGACTACTGGTTTCCACAACTGCCACAGCTATGCCTAACCACAAAGTCCCTTGATCTAGATTTCAACCTGTGTCCTGCCCTCCTGGACAATCTTAGCCTTGCCTTGTCATTATAGTTCTGGACAATGATCACAGGTCCTAACCCTGGCCTATTCACTGACTTCTTGGCTTGACCTTGTACCTGCCTCATCACCACGACACTGTGTTATGTTCTGGACATTTGGTTGGAAGTGGCCACCATTTCTGCATGGATCCTACTTGCCTTGCTCAGATACTGTGGGACTGGGTCCTGGCTGCTGTGAGCCCTGCACTCCTGGCTATGCAACTTCCCCATAGGCCCTGGGCTTCCCTTCCCTTAGGGGATCCTAATCTTGATGCTCCCTGATAATTCCTGTTTCCCACCAGGGCTGACACAAGAGGATAATGTTAAATACATCTACAGTAACTATAAGTTATACTTCTGGGTGGTGGTGGGAAAGTCACTGGTAAATTGTAACAGATTCCTACTAAAGTATAAGCATATAAGAAAAACACGAAATCAGAATCTCCCTCTCTCATATTTCAGTGGCAAATTATCACTGCAAGTCAGTAAGTGTTAGAAAGCACTGCACTGTTACTGCTTCCAGCTCTGTACTCAAATAAAATACACATCACAACCCTCATGCTTTCTGACAGCAGTATGTTCAGAAAAGGACAGGATGCTCAAAAATTAAACCAGTGTAATAATTTGTATTATTTCAATGAACTTCTAAATACTTGTATCAAACACTTAGGAGAAAACATCACTGTTCCAAATGAATATAAAATCTAAGTTTTAAACTTTTACCTGGATAGCTCCTGTCATTGGTCTTCCCATAGATGAAGGCAAAGTTGCCTTTGACTACAAAAAACAAGTGAATTGTTTGAAACTAGCATTCACAAAGCATTGGAAGCCTATGCACAGTCTTCTCAACACTGAGTTTTAGAAGCTGAGCTAACTCTCACAGACATGCATTGCAAAGTTCCCATTTGTGTTATTCATAAGCAATATGCCAGTGCCTGACAGACTTAGAGATACTGACCACTTTGGTTAGCACAAATTCACAATATAGTTTTTTTTTAATGTATTTTGACATTTTTGTCAGCCCTTTTAAAAAGAAGTACATAAAAAATTGCTTGAGGCAGCAGAACTTTCCATTATTAAATTATCAAAACTGCTATCTTGAAATTGAACAAGTAATTGACACAAAATACTTCAGTAAAATTCTGAGTAGAGTTTATAAAACCTGACCCTATATTAACCTCTTAAGTCATACTTTCATGCAGATAAATTTTAACTGCCAGTGGATCTTTTCCATTGTCTGACATGACACATACCATCCTTCTGCAGAAGTGTTACAAATGTCAAGAATAAATGTGAAACATTTTACTATGTGAAACATATTTTACTATGTGAAACATATTACTAAGAGCTGAAGTTTGGTACAAATATGCAATACAAACAGACAAGAATAAAGGGTTTCAGGCCATGAAGAAGTATTGCCCTAATTCCCACACAGAGGCCTGTGCTTTGCTATTTTACTCACTATCCACACATGTCATGATTACTTTTAATTTTTTCTGCTAAGGATCAATCTACATTAGCACGGATTGTTTTGCAGGAGAAGCAAATCTGTAAAGTACTGTGGGGTGGGCAATGCTTTGGAAGTTTCTAGCTCTGCTGTCATAGATAAACATTTCAGCCTTTATTATCCTTAGGAAGTGCCTTTTTGTGCACTCATTTAACGAGACACTTTTCCCCCTTATAGTTCCACACTAAACATCTGCAAATAGAGCTGCTAAGAAAAAGCAGTGTCAAAAGTTTGAGCAACCTGTTCTAGTTGAAGATGTCCTTGCTCATTGCAGGGAGGTTGCCCTATATGACCTTTAAAGGTCCCTTCCAACCCAAACCATTCCATGATTCTAATATATCCAAAGCAGGTAACAGAAGGCTCAGAGTAAAGGTTGTATTTCAGCGACATAATACAATTTAAGCGTTCTTGAAAATGTTACCCAGCTAACTTGCACAAGAGATCTAAAATAATGTGATGGCCCCTGTCATAAAACTTACAGGAATGTTATATCCAAGAGCACTGTTTTTTTCAAATATGATTGAGACAGGGGAACAGGTTTAAATTTATTTGAATAAGGGGACAGTGGATGTATCACTAGTGCATAACTTCTGTTTACATAAATAACTAACACTTTAAGCTGGTTTATTAAGAGTTACAAGAGGATAAGTATACCAAAGAATATAATCAACGTTTTCTGATTAAACTAGAGGTGTTTCAAAGCCTCTATTTTGTAGGCCTCCATTTCACCTTAACTTGCAGAAAACTTTCCCAAGCCCAAATAACAACCTATCCAGTTCCTCTTGCAAGACAACCTGGTTCATACCTTGAATTCTAATGCTTTATGCAGTATGAAGCAGATTTGCAGTATGGTTTGGGAGAAAAAAAGAAAACAACCAGTAACCATGCCTTGACCAAGTGCAGAGCCATGAATTAAAATTAATAAATATGTGTAGTCCACTGGAATGAAATCCTTAGTTGAAAAGAGCTCACTTTGTGCAAGGAATTAAATGGAACAAATTTTTTAGTAAATGCCATTTTCATTAAGGATATGACAGAAGAAAAACCTACCCCAAATCCAGTAGCTAAAGGTCTTGAACTTGATGTACCCGGAATTTTGGCTGTCACCTGAGCAGAAAAAAGAACCAAACAAATCCCCCACCCCAATTAACATCTGTATGTGTCAATTATTAGTCTTTCCATATACTTCGTAGAAATAATGCTTCAATCATTACAAAAAGGATTCTCATTGTAGAACCAGATTGCACTGGCAAGGAAGTAATATTAATCAAATAGTTTCAGCTCTTCTTTAGACATACAGTATGTACTTCTAAAGTGCAGGTGCCCACTTTATATTTCATTTTGAAAACCGATGTAAGATTAAGTTGCAGCTAAATGAAAATAAGGAAATTAATGTCAATTACATTAATATGGAGGGAAAAGTTGACAGAACACATGATTTTCTGAACCCCACTGTCTAGGATGTAGCTCAACCTTTGTAACTGTATGTCAGAGACAGTAATTCTATTTACAGAATATTATTAAAGCCCTTTCAGAATGTATAATTTTGCTCTTTAACAAGGCCTTATCTCATTTTATTAAACAGGAATACACATTTTCAACCAAAGTTCCTTGTCTGCTCCATCTAACTCCACAAATTAACGGAACCTGTGCTCTGCTAATTTTTTACTTATTTTCCATATAAATAACTAAATTCTGTATTTTCATGTTAGTAGTAGACAAAAGAAAAAAAAGAAGGAAAAAAGGTAAAGAGACTCCCAAGTTAAGTTTGCATCCATGCCAAAGTTAGAGCTGCGGCTCCAGAGAATGTCTACAATACTACAATATATTTTAAAAGGTACTTACAGGGGGCCTTCTACCATGACTTGTTCTTACTGCCTGTTGAAAAGCTACATCATTTTCTAAATCCTAGAAGAGATAAAATAAAAACATCAACCCTTTTTAAACCACAACACCCAAAGCCAGAGTTTCAGAACCTTCTGATTATTGAAAGCAGGTAGGTAAAAAACCAGTAATTTTTTGCAAAATCCTTGACCCGATGATAACTGAATTACAGGCTGTACTGATATTAAATAACAGTGATAATATTTGCCTGGTATTTTAGATTATGAAATGTAAAAACTCTTTATTCTGTAAAAAATACAAACACGCTGAGGAAGCAGAGCTAAAGTTATAAAGGATAACATTAAATTTTATTTCCACAGAAATGCTTCCTACTCACACTGTTTCTCAATTCTAACCTAACACCTGCCTTGCTAATACATTAAGGTACTTCATGCCCCTCAGGTCATGCTGCAACTCTCATGAATTTGGCATTAGGATTTCACACAAGATTCCATATCCAGTGGGTTTGGACCAAATGACCCCATTGTTGTTCCAACTCCATCACACCAGCAGTTACCAGAAACTAGACTGCAGGGCTACCTTAAGACCTCCCAAATGCTCTGCCAACCTGTGGGATTCCATTTGACTGTGAGCTCCTCCAGCAGCAGCACAGTAAGAGACCAATGATCTACTGACCAATGTCAGAAAACTTGCTGCTGCACTCAATCTGAGAAACACCACATTGAATGTGCCTACAAATAATGAGGATTTTACACTTCATAAATTCTAACCATTACAGCATATGAGATCTGCCCAGATGCACGCAGGTATTTTGCTGGAATAGAAAACTATCAAAGAATTAAGCATTCAAAAAGATCCTGGCGAAACTTTATATGTTTCTTGCTAGATAAATTTCACTTCAAAGCAGTAGCACACTTATAAATTATTGTACCCACAATTTCTTATCTCATACTTCTAAGTTAAAATTCTACATATGATAAAAGTGGGAAATAGGATATATTTTTACCTCTGTGTCAAACATGGGATTATAATCATTGTAGCCAGAATAGAGATCATCTTCATCATTCTCAGGAGCCAGCTGCACATTTTGCATCATTTTTCTGTGAAACGTTTAACATGCCAAATGTTACCTCAGTGGTTTTATATAAACCATTAAAAATGTAAAATACAAACAGCAATAAGGTATACAAGTTCAAAAAAGCTCCAAACGATTAGTTAGAAAGACCAGGACTCGCCTATAAACAATATTAAATGGCACCATTTTATAGAATTATATTGTTTGGTATTTACACCAGTTATGAATATTGTTTTAAATGTATTTATCAATAAAACTAAATCATAGCAAGCAAACATATTACCACTTTCAGAACGGTATTTTTACACTGTCAGCTAATTCAGGTTTAAGATAACTGTCTCATATTCTAAAGTTTGTTATTAGGCCAAACCATGGCAGTAAGTCTAAAGAAAGATATCTCCTCCAGAGTCAAATCTTCCCTCCTTTGTGTGCCCTTAAGCCATTAAGTACATACGAAGATATGAGGAATGCTGTGTACAGAATCTGTTAGAGAGGAAGAGTGCTGCATAATCTATTACAGAGGAAGAGTGCTGCATATAGAATCTATAACCATCCCTGGAGGTTTCAAGGTGAGACTGAATGTGGCACTTAGTACCATGGTCTAGTAATGATGGTACGGCTGGACTGGATGATCCTTGAGGTCTCTTCCAACCCGGTTGATTCTATGATTCTATCATCTAAGAAGAATGCAACATATAGCTGGCAAACCCAAAACGTATTTTAAAGCTAGCATTAAAGAAGCCTGGGTTCCAAAGTCTTCACTGCCTAATACGGCCGCACTCACCTGGTAGTCCTTTCCTCACGGAGCACAGACAGGTTACCTATTTTCACCAAAACCTTCAGAAGGAACGCTTGACTTCATCGACAACATGAAGTACAAGTAACCCTCAGCCAGGACGAAGCGCAGCGCCCGCACCGAGGGCCGGTCCCTCTCCACGCAGGAGGAATCCGCCGCTGCTTCCCACCTCCTC